GGCAGGTGGTGATATGTCTAACATGGTACATGTAGCCAGTGGGACATGTCAATAAGTGTTCAATGTATGAACATAAAATCTGAATGTTCGGAGTTGGCGTCAGTAAAAATGGCAGGTGGTGATATGTCTTACATGGTACATGTAGCCAGTGGGACATGGCAAGAAGTGTTCAATGCATAAACATTAAAACTGAATGTTCTCAGTTGGCATCTGTAAAAATGGCAGGTGGTGATATGTCTTACATGGTACATGTAGCCAGTGGGACATGTCAATAAGTGTTCAATGTATGAACATAAAATCTGAATGTTCGGAGTTGGCGTCAGTAAAAATGGCAGGTGGTGATATGTCTAATATGGTACATGTAGCCAGTGGGACATGGCAAGAAGTGTTCAATGCATAAACATTAAAACTGAATGTTCGCAGTTGGCATCTGTAAAAATGGCAGGTGGTGATATGTCTAACATGGTACATGTAGTTAGTGGGACATGTCAATAAGTGTTCAATGTATGATCATAAAAACTGAATGTTCGCAGTTGGCATCTGTAAAAATGGCAGGTGGTGATATGTCTTACATGGTACATGTAGTTAGTGGGACATGTCAATAAGTGTTCAATGTATGAACATAAAATCTGACATGTTCGGAGTTGGCGTCAGTAAAAATGGCAGGTGGTGATATTTCTCATGTTATTGCCTTGTCTAGCATGGAACATGTAGCCAGTGGGACATGTCAATAAGTGTTCAATGTATGATCATAAAAACTGAATGTTCGCAGTTGGCCTCTGTAAAAATGGCAGGTGGTGATATGTCTAACATGGTACATGTAGTTAGTGGGACATGTAAATAAGTGTTCAATGTATGAACATTAAAACTGAATGTTCGCAGTTGGCATCTGTAAAAATGGCAGGTGGTGATATGTCTTACATGGTACATGTAGCCAGTGGGACATGGCAATAAGTGTTCAATGCATAAACATTAAAACTGAATGTTCTCAGTTGGCATCTGTAAAAATGGCAGGTGGTGATATGTCTAACATGGTACATGTAGCCAGTGGGACATGTCAATAAGTGTTCAATGTATGAACATAAAATCTGAATGTTCGGAGTTGGCGTCAGTAAAAATGGCAGGTGGTGATATGTCTAACATGGTACATGTAGCCAGTGGGACATGTCAATAAGTGTTCAATGTATGAACATAAAATCTGAATGTTCGGAGTTGGCGTCAGTAAAAATGGCAGGTGGTGATATGTCTAACATGGTACATGTAGCCAGTGGGACATGTCAATAAGTGTTCAATGTATGAACATAAAATCTGAATGTTCGGAGTTGGCGTCAGTAAAAATGGCAGGTGGTGATATGTCTAACATGGTACATGTAGCCAGTGGGACATGTCAATAAGTGTTCAATGTATGATCATAAAAACTGAATGTTCGCAGTTGGCATCTGTAAAAATGGCAGGTGGTGATATGTCTTACATGGTACATGTAGTTAGTGGGACATGTCAATAAGTGTTCAATGTATGAACATAAAATCTGACATGTTCGGAGTTGGCGTCAGTAAAAATGGCAGGTGGTGATATTTCTCATGTTATTGCCTTGTCTAGCATGGTACATGTAGTCATTGGGACATGTCAAAAAGTGTTCAATGTTGTATAACATAAAAACTGAATGTTCAGTTTGTACCGTAGAAGACATGTAGTGATTATAGTCATCCATTTGTAGAGGATACCTAATAGAAGGGAAATTTTTTCAATAGTTGTATTCTTCATTTTTTAACGACGCACTGAGAATTTTTCCTTGCTCCACAGCAAAGAATTTGAAATTGCTGCTTTATCACACCTTGTGAAACAGCTGCGATTTCAAATCATTTGCTTTCGAGAGAGTATTATTGGTTGATGTGTCACTATTGAATGAACTACACACTATTTACATAATTTCCTTTTTATTAGGAAACCTGTACACATGTATGAATATAATCGAGTACCAAACTGCCTTATATGGTGAAATATCACGAAATAAAATTTAAAGATGACCGTTAAATATCCACACCTTGCACACATGATATCCACACCGCTTGTTTTCGGAATAGCACAGTTTGCATAGAGTGTAAAACCTGCAGTCTGGTTACATGTATTAATAGAATCTGAACTATTTTATTTAGGGCCTATTTTATTTATTATAGAATAAAAAAATAGAAATAAACTATCAGAATCTGACAAGTATATTGCACTTTGTAGAAATTTATGTTTGAATTGAAATAAATTATAACTGGTATCTGAAAATGGATAATGTCATGTCTCAATCTGAATGTTTATCCTGAATACTGTATACAACAGTTACAGATGATGAATGTAGGTCACAAAAAATTGAATTCTAAACAACAACATGATACTAGTATTTAAACATTTTGGGTCTGAACATTTTAAGTTTTATGTGCCTTATTTTTAATAGTCTAGGCTTCATTGAGAAAATGAGATTCAGTTGTTCACAAATGTGCCCTAGAAAAATTCTCCATACTTTCAAAAAGGCAACCCAAATTAATTTTCAAGTGTATAAATATATTTTTTCTAACATTCCTTAGTCTAGCTACTAGAGTCTAACATCTAAAGAGATATAAAGAAAAGTCCAAACTCAAGAAAACAGTGAAAATGTTTTCCCCTGTCAGTTCTCGGCTAGTTTCCATATTTATTTTAAACAAAATGTCTGTGAAGTACATCTATGAGTAGAGTACAGCATGAGCTGTCGTATATTTTAAATTTACCATGAGTCCAGATCACTTGGATCATCAGGCAACGGGTACTTTCCAGAACCCTTGGACCCTGCCTTGGGCAACTTTGGCTTTTGCTTGGCCTTGGATCTTCGAACTGACGACCCAGCTTCTGGCTCAAAGCTACACATTGTAGTCACACCCCTCACATCTGCCTCTATCTTCTCCCTGTTCAGCCCTCTACTGACAAACCCACTGTCGTCTCCACTTGAGCTGTCACTGTCGCTGTCATACATGTTTTTAACTTTCAAATTGTAGAATTTTTGTTCACAAATGGCTTTCAGTATTGAACCGGAAATAATGACAAATCAGCTGTTTCTTATGCGCAAAATTGCGCATGTTTTCTGTTTTTAGATATATTTTCTTTTTTAATGCAATTTTTATTAGAATACAGTTTTATCAACCCACTTTAACAATAGGTATACTAATTTATTATTGTGATGTAGTGTTGTGGATACGTAAATCGTACATTTTCTTCATGGTTGTAAAACTCCAGAAATATGATTTCCGGTATCTGTACTTTCAATTTGCGCATACGGTTCTGAAGTTCAGTCCTAACACCTTTATCCGACAAAATAAGTGTCTTTTTCACATCCATTAATATGGATAACGTTTTAAGATAAGCACAAATGGACACACTCTATCAATCATTCTATAAATGACATAAAACCGTCAGCCATTAAAGGCCCGGGGATCTTCACACATTGATTACCACGGCGCGCGCGCTACATTGTTCACTTTGATGACGCGAAACCACGTGACTAAATCTTGAGGTGAAATGAAAAACAACAAAATTCCGATGGAGATTTTTCTCCTAGTTTATTGATTCATTATAGTGAATTGTTGGGTTTGATACTCCTCAGTGCTGTTTCTACCGATTGAGGTATGTTCGTTTTGTCTAAATGTGATGAAATAAGACCTGTCAAATAAGGTCTTGAACACTTATTAAGGCTCAATAATAAATGAATTAAACAAGCATGAGTATCACAGTACATCAGTGAGTTAGTGAATACTAGTCAAATAATATAACGTTTGAGAAATTCCCTCTGTGCGACCAACTCTAGTATTGAAAGCATACCCTGGGTCGTAACAATACCCCGAGTTTATGCTTTATTCGAGGAAAAACTGAAGATATTTAAAATAAGCAATCATTATGAGAATGGTTACATCCCCCCATTTTTGCACTTTGAATCTTAAAGTAACATATTTACACTTCTAGGCCGAATTTCGACAATCTAAGCGAAATGAGTCAAGAAAATAGTCTTACCTTTCTATTAGGATGGGTTCAGGTGCCAAAAATAACTGATCCATGGATATATATCATTTTGAAATTTGGATGCAAGAAATATTTTTTCGGGAGCCATGTTTTTTTTACGACTCATAACAGGAAATAGATTATCTAAATGAAAACTGAATTTACATCATCAATCCTGGTTTTGACTTAAAAATTTACCGATATAGATAAAATAAATATTATTAAAATGATTATTGACTATTTTTTTATTAATCTTATGCAGTGATTCGACTGTCTTCCAAAGTTTATAACATAGGTTAAGAATTACAATGTTATTTCATCATGCAAGTGTGTGGCCTAATGGAGTAAGGCGCGGAGTCATAGTTTTGATAGATGGAATCCAGCTGTCGGTGGTTCGATTCCCGGTCAAGACTAGGTTTTTTTTTCTTTTTTATTTATCTCTCAGACACATTTTTTTTAAAAAATCTCTTTTTATACAACATATAGTCATATCTATTACTTTTTGAGGTTTTAGATTTTAGATACATCGTAAATGTGTTACTTTAAATAACTTTATCGATAACACATCACGGGTCTTTTTGGAGATATTATATTTGAGCTTATAGTCTATTATAAGGAATACATTAGTAGATCGATTGTACAAATTGGTTGCAATTTTGTCACTCCCCAGTGATTCTACCTTAATAAAAAACAAGAAATCTCGCCTAAATCTTAGAATTATCTAAAATATACGTATGTTGTTTGAAGCTCAACAATTGTCAAATTTTAAAGCGACTGTCAGGTTGTCTAAATAGTACTCTTATTTTATCTCTCATTAATTTTATGATATCAATGATTAATTGAACCCGGAAGTAAAACGTTAAAGGAGTGTGATATTTTTTTTTCACCTACTAGTATATCAAATTAATATGTTTTGGAGAATTGCATATGTATTCGGAGCTATGGTTTTACCTTTGTTCCTCTGTCAAACTCTACCACGAACCTGGATACGTGAACCAGAAGACACTGTAGCAAATGTAGGAGATACAAAAACACTCTATTGTGAGCTAGATAACTTACCACAAGGGCACTTTGTGAAATGGTACATTGCATCCAGTAATCAAGATATTTCTACAAATTGGAAATGTGAATCAAAATTTCATTGGTGTTTATGAAATCACTGGAACATACAATCTTAGGATTATAAGTGTCACGGACAACAGGGATTTTACACAGTATTATTGCCAAGAGTTAATAAGCAATATTAAGAGCAAGACTGTCTCAGTCATTAAAGCAGGTAAGTAAGCCATGACATTCAACATTGTTACAACATATGTTGCTAGTTTTACATATACGAAAGAAATGCAGGATGGTCTGATACAACTTGGGCACTTCTGACCTACATACTATTAATTAGAAATATTGCGATACTAGTGATAATGGCATTTCATCAGTGGCAAGAGAGGAAGTACACATAATGATTTAAACACGTAGTGAAACGTGTTAAAAATCAGTTTATATGCTATAATTTTGATCTGCGACATTGATAATACATCAACTTCTCCTGAGTATAGTCAGGAGTGTACGAGTACATGTATATGAATTGATAGCAATTAATTATGTTGGTAAAGAACTATTCGGATTTTCGCAATATTTGGATTTCGTTTATCAAGTTGGTATAGAACGTTAGACCCGTAAATAAACAAAGTGTATTCAAGTGATAAATTGTTGACCTTCATCATTCTGACGAGGAAGTTTAAAACATGAAATCAAAGTGTATATAGATCGTTCCATTATGTTTAGCGTTTGTCGAAAAATTCATGATCAAATATGAACATGTTTTGTGAAAATATATTCTGCGCTGTGATTCTGACCACACTTTTTTGTCAAGCGGAAACTCTTACACCAACCTGGATACGTGAACCAGAGGACACTGTTGCAAATGAAGGAGATTCAATAACATTATACTGTGAGATGAATAACTTACCTCCAACACCCAGAGTGAGATGGTACATTTGGAGGATAGACATTGATCCTCAGGCTGAGCAGAGTATTAGTACTAATGAAGATGTAGAGGATACTTTTACAGCTATCTATGAAATCACTGGAACATACAATCTTAGGATAAAAAGTGTCACCGACAACAGGGATTTTACCCAATTTCGTTGTGAAGGATTATTTGCTGGTCTAAAGAGCAACACTGTCTCTCTCATCAAAGCTGGTAAGTATACACATATTCTACAGCCTATTTGTACGAGTTCATATGGTACACATAATCAATATAATGTGACTTATAGTATCAGAGGATTCGCCAGGACGAGTATTCTACAGCCTATATGTACGAGGTCATATGGTACACTTCTTCCGTATAAGCTGACTTATAGTATCAGAGGATTCGCCAGGACGAGTATTCCACAGCCTATTTGTACGAGTTTATATGATACACATCATGCCTATAATGTGACTTATAGTATCAGAGGATTCGCCAGGACGAGTATTCTACAACCTATTGTACGAGTTTATATGTTACACATTATCCTTATAATGTAACTTATAGTATCAGATGATTCGCCAAAATGAGTATTCTAATAGCCTATTTGTACGAGTTAATATGGTACACATCATCCATATAATGTGACTTATAGTATCAGAGGATTCGCCAGGACGAGTATTCTACAGCCTATTTGTACGAGTTTATATGGTACACTTCATCCCTATTATGTGACTTATAGTATCTGGGGACTCGCTGGGACGAGTATTCTACAATCTATTGTACGAGTTCATATGGTGAGCATCAGCCGTATACTGTGATTTATAGTATCAGAGGACTCACAGGGGCGAGTATAAGCTTGCGAAGATAGGTCGCTAAGTGGGGAAAATGTCATATTTTATACATTATTGCTCTTAGTTTTTACACAGCTGTTAACAATTCATTATAAGGTCGACCATTTATGAAACAGTTTGTCAAATGTTCAAACCATTAGTTTTACATTCAAGCTTAAAGATTCGCGCAATCTTTATCCAATCAGCGTTTGCGATGTGTATCGGCTCACGTATAAAACACGAATCCAACTCCAAATCCATGCAGGGGTGTATGAGGTACTCGAATCGGAAAGAGCTCGTGAAATCTGAATTTACATGCACATGGTCAATGTTTACACATGTTTGGAGTTATTGAAGAAAATGTGATATGGGGGTGGTTCCGAATTTGAAGTCATTGCTGGAAAATATGATTTTAATACGTGGAATTATATCTATACAGCACTAAAAATAACAGTACACATGAAGTACATGTATGATTGTGTCTAGAAATGTTTGAAACCCTTACGGAAAATTCTGTCTGCATTTTGTCACCATTGCTCTTTCTTCCCGCATTCTAGTGCTATTTGAATGAATATATTTATTAATGTGTTTCTAACTAAAATATATCACATTTTTTATTAACCACAAACATTTAGATCATAAAAAATTATTCAATACTTGAGTGAGCACGATATGCAAGGGTTACAAAGTTGACACAGTAAATGACCACTGATATTGAGTTAGTCCATGCACACAGCGTATTCTGCTAATACATATTTGCTAACACCCCTCACTTTCATAGTGAAGTGACTAATTGGTTTATGTTTACGTTTTAATGTGTTTTGTGTTCCTTGTTGCAAGGGGGGCCAGTAAAGTAGACTGACATATTTTCATGGCAAGTTTTGATCGAATATGTGAGACACTTTAAAATCTAGTCTTATTTGTCCCCTTGTGACAACAGTGCTTCCATGCTAGAGTCCTACATGTACACCACTTACTTGTAACGCGTAACATTGTGATAGTAAAGGCCCGGTCACACCGCCCGGACGTTGCTGGAGCGTTCCTTGAACGTTGAAAAAATTCATCAACGCTCGTAAACGTTCACCACCGTTTAACAAAAGTTGGCATCCGTTAAAGCAACGCTGTAAACGCTCGGCCAACGCGGATGTTTCTCGAGTGGCCATCCTAACGCTCCAAAAGTTTTGAGCTGCTCAAAATATTGCGAGCGTTGAAAAAGGGACAATTTTACGCCCTGGCAAAGTTGATCACCGCTCCACCAACGCCCAGTCAAAGTTTGGCACCGCTAGACGCAAGTTCGTGGACGCTTGAATCCGCTAGACCAACGCAGAAATCTTAAACGTTGGACCACCGCTGCTTCGCCAGCGTTGCCCGGGCGGCGATTAAACGTTGCACAAACGTCGGTGGAGCGGTTGTTAGCGTTTTATCAGCGTACATGGGGTTGTTGGAACGGTGTCGGACGTTGTCGCAGCGTTCCATGGCGGCGATGAACTTTGCTTTGGCGTTGGTACAGAGGTGTCGGAGCGGGACCAGAATTTGGCTATAAATACGTCGAGAAATGCATCACTGTGTAGAACACTGTGGAGACACTTGTGCATGTCTGGCATTTCAATTTTTTGCATTGTAAATTCCTAAATTAAGCGCTCAAAGTTTGTGATTTTGGATTTTAAAAAGGTGAATTATGCGATTTTTGTTTTTCATTAAATGTTAATACAAATAGACTTATACTGAGACCTTTATTCAAATATAGTATATACCTAGTGTTTTCACGTCAAGCAATTCAATAAATTATCTGTGAATTTTCTGCGCAGCTTGTTAAATGTTGCACTCGTCATGGTATTATACAAAAAGTTGATGCGCGCACAGCAATGCTAATAAAATTTGTCATGCGTCATGATTATTACCTTGCTGTAAATGTTATTTGACATTGTTAAAGCAATTTGAACGTAAATCGGTTCCAAGTAATGGAAATGCAACGATTAAATTGTGATATGTTTGTTTGAAATGATATGAGAGATTATTAAAGAAAATTGTAATGTTATTCATTCTTAATGTCATATTACATTAATAGAAGCACTTTAGATTTAAAACATTTCTTCTTTAATCCTTGAAGGACTTTTGTTAAAGTTACAAATTCCAATAAAGGTCTTTACTCTTAAACACTTCCCACTTGAAATAATTTCCCAGTAGTCAAACGCGACATGCTGCTAAACCAACGCTGCTGCTATTTATACCCTCGCCGAGGCAACGCTCTCATACGCAGAACGCCGCTATACCAACGCTCGCATTACCGCTAAACAAACGCTAGCTACCGCTCGCAACCGCTTAACCAACGCTAAAGCAACACCGGCTTCAGCGGTGCACCGCTAAGCCAACGACGCCCGTGTTTTTGTTTTTCTCCCCATTTTGTGCGCGTTGACGAGCGTTGATGAATGTTTTCAACGTTCAAGGAACGCTCCAGCAACGTCCGGGCGGTGTGACCGGGCCTTAAAGTACAGTATCTTTTGCACTTCCAGTTGCCCCAAGCCAGCTTGTGATATCAGGGGCCGATATTATCATAGAAGGAAGTGATGCCGTACTAACCTGCTCAAGCTCTGGTGGGAAAGAAGCCCCAAATACAAAATGGTATAGAGATGGAAACTCAATTACAGGTATCACTATACTTTATTCATTTATTCATTCGTCCGGCAGTCCATCCGTGCATCCAACAACATTTCGATCCATCAATCAATCAGTACATTCATCCATCTCTGCATCAATCAATCCATGGATCCAGCCATTCTGGCATCCATCAGTGCATCCACCCACCTGTGCATCCACCCACCCGTGGATCTATCAATCCGTGCATCCATCCATCCGTGCATCCACCCATCCGTGCATCCATCCATCCGAGCATCCACCAATCCGTGCATCCATCCACCCATCCGCCGATCCGTGCATCAATCCATCCATCCGTCCATCCGTGCATCAATCCATCCATCCGTCCATCCACCCATCCATCCATCCGTCCATCCACCCATCCATCCATCTGTGCATCCATCCATCAATCCATCCGTCCGTCAACCCATCCATCCATCCGTCCGTCCGTCCATCCATCCGTCCGTCCACCCATCCACCCATCCATCCACCCACCCGCCCATCCGTCCGTCCGTCCGTCCATCCATCCATCCATCCATCCATCCATCCATCCATCCATCAATCCGTACATCCATCCATTTATCCATTCCTCCCATCCATTCCTCCCTTCCATGCATTCATCCAGTTGTGTTGATATTCTGTTCTCTGTCGAGTGAATATACTGTTCTCTTTGTATACACTCAACCTATTATGGGTATGTTTATGTAATAAAGTTGATAGATCGTATCCTTGTGTATCTGATGAACTGATGATGATATATACGAAGGTTCGTTACTCTAATTACTCCAAGAATACTGATGACTATTGTAAGATATTTATTGTAATTTTTATACTCCGAGGATTTTAATGGGTCCATGTAAGCTGCAACCAGACTCTTATTTTAATCGGATGTAATATCTTTAGACATGGTTGTGGAGAATCGCAATAAAAACTGGAAGACCAATCCCGGTGCAACAAGTTCAAGTGTCTTGACTATACCAAAGGTGACACAGAATGAACACGACAAGGTTTACCAATGCAGAGTGAGCAACACAGCAACTAAGAACACTCCGTTAACAGAGGATGTCAAATTGGATGTGAAATGTAAGATGTGAAATGTTGGTTTAGGTGTTTTGAATCCTTTCAACATGGTGCTAAATTATAGTTTTGTCCGTTTTGGTTAAAATATGTTAATATTTGAATATCCGTTTAACAGATATTTTGAACAGAATTTTGCACTAACTTGTGGAAAATGATGCGGAGAACACTTCATGTTCCGAAAATCCCTAAAAACATCCTTAGTCTATCGCAGTTTATCAAATAAACAAATCGCTTGCAAAGTGGACAATGATACACCTTAGACGTCAAATAAAACATTACAAATAATGTACTTTGAAAATATTATTTACATTCCAGATGGCCCTAAAAGTGTAACAGTTGGTCCATACTTGGATTACAAAGTTATTCAACGACAAGATATTACTCTTACTTGTTCTGGTGACAGTAATCCATCCCCTACTTCTTACCAATGGAAGAAGGGAGGTACACCTATTCCTGGAGCAACCAATCAGAACTACCCGATAACAAATGTTCAAACTTCTCACGATGGCACATATACATGTACAGTTGCTAATGGCATTGGGAATGAAAAGACATCTGAGGGTCTTAAACTTGAAACATTATGTAAGTAGTATGTACTTCATTATCAATGTTGCATCAAATTGTCCAATCAACACAATCATTTAATTGTTAAAAAGTTTAATTGTTAAAAACAATAAAAAGGAAAATAAAAGAGTTCTTCATACTCATAATCCAAATTTATGCTTTGTTCCTTAATATATGTTATTCTGTGGTGATTTCAGTCACCCTTATTATTTTAATGTGTGATTTATTCTCAAACTAATATGAATCTCTCTAGATCCCCCTACTGTGAATATTCAGCCGACATACACATATCCAGAGACAGATTTGCCAAGAATTATTACATGTTCTGCTGACAGTAAACCCAGTCCTACCAAATATGTTTGGAAGAAAAGAGGAGAACAATCCAAACCAGATGGGCCAACACTGACAATAACAAATAGAGGCAATAATGGAACTTATGAATGTACTGCTACCAATGAAATGAATCCAAGTGGAAAGGATCCACAAACGGGGAGTGACACAAAGGAAACATTTGTTGATGTTCAATGTATGTATGACTAATCAAATGGGATTTACTATGATTGTTTTCAAGTAATTGTGCTCAAACTATTGCTCATAATAGTAGTATTGATATTACTGATAAAAATGGACTAAATTCTGAAGCCGATTCTTTTATACATATATAGTAACATAGTATAAATTCAATTACATGGAGTGGTAGATGTAATGAGTTAGCAGGTTTACATTGCTTGTTGTTGGTGTAGATCTGATCCACACATCTCATTAATAACAAATGGAGTTTGGGGTTTATAAGGAAGAGAAATGAACATGAATGAAATTATCATAGGTATATTGAACAGAATAGTATTTTTGGAAAGTGATTTCTAGATCTGATACAGTGTTTAAACCAATTTTAAATGCAAGTTCTCTGTAGTTCTCAATACTGTTCAGCTCAATCATAACAACACTGCAATATATCCAGCTCTATACTTTAGATTCACAGTAATTACTGTGCCAAAACACATATTGTATAACATATTGAAATGGACATTTTTATAATTTCTAGTCAAGCCTGGTGCACCTCAAGCAATTAGAAGTACTGTGACCGTTCACACTACCTCCACAGCTATTCTTGAGTGCAGTCTTTCTGAATCTGAGCAAGGGAACCCTAGATCTTCTATGTTCAGATGGAAAAAAAGTGGTATAAGCGTTGGTGAACACACTGGAAGATATTCAAGGCCAAATGTTAATGTGGCAAAGGATGATGATTCATACACCTGCACACCATTTAACAAAATTGATGATGGATCGTCAGCAACCATTCAGCTATATGTTCAAGGTACTGCATATACAGTCGTAGATGAGATGTTCTAACGCACCTATAGCAAATTATGCTATGTTTGTAAACTTTATGTACTATATACTAAAATAGCCATCGCTTAAAACGTTGTTTAAAAGAAAATCCTTATCTCTCTTTTAGGCAGATGCTTTGCATGAAGTAATATCCCTATTATTAACAAGCAATTCAGAGTAGAAACCCATTCGTTTTTGATGAAAAGAATCTTTAGTTAGATCGATAAAATATATAAGGGTTATGTACTGGGAGGTTTTGGATACAGGTTTTATCCCAAGGGAAATATGTGTATATCCCGAGGGACCGCAGGGACTGAGGGATATACACATATTTCCCGAGGGATAAACCCTGTATCCAAAACCGACCGTACATAACAGATGTATTTCATACCTACTGATGTTCTAGGTACGTCATATACCTTATAAAGTTCCAAAATTCAAAAATATACTTAAGATACGCATTTTCTTGGTGTTATAAAGTGGTTTTTTAAGTTTCTGAGATTATCCAACTCATATAACTCATATTTTGAAAAATAATGTGAAAAGAAATTTGGGAAAAAATGGGAAAAAATTTTTGAAAAAAAAATTGAAAAAAATTGAAAAAAAAATTTGAAAAAATTGTGAAAAAAATTATAGGAGCGGGACCGGGATGGATACAGCGTGTATCCATCCCGCCCCGGGGCTTGGCTAGATACAGTATATATTCCCGCTCGTTATGTACCTAGAACCTCAGTAGGTATGAAATACAAATCTGTATACATACATGTAATTGAATTATTGTAATTGAATTATTGTACTCAAGTACACCTTTTTGGAAACCCAATAATTCAATTCACTTATGAATTAACGTATCCATAAAGATAAGTTATGCTTTCACATTTGAACAAAATCTCTCTTTTAATGAACAAAATGCGTAAATGAAGTCTCACGTATGATCTTCATAGTATTTCCAATGGATTTATAAGTACCTGATCTTTCATTTGACAACAAAAACAGCTCAAACAAATCACATCAGAGTTAACATTAGATCATGAAAAATATTTTCGATCTATCAATTTATATATGTCAAGTTTTTAGCAATGCCATTGAAAGATTGCATTGTTGTTTGCATTAATTATCCATTCTTTTTTGATAGGATTTTCAATCATACGCCAACTTTTGATCCAAGAGTTATTTAAACATACACTGTGAAAAGTGGTAATTCACTTATTTTGATCTCTGAACTTCTATGCTGTTTTCTATGCAAGTAATTTTTTTCACTTCAGTATTGACCAAAATTAAAGTTTTTATCATATTTGATTGAGTGTGTGAGTGATAATATTTTGTCCTTTTTCTTCCTTCAAAAATAGGCGCACTGCCTGTTTAAATTTTGGATATTGATGTAACAAAACTTTCATGACCCAGCTTTAATCTAAAGAAAATTAGATACTCAGTTCCATATCGTCGCGACGATACCAGTGGCCATTCAAATAATCTTCTTTTTTCAGTAAAGCCGACATTTACTTCACAAATACCTGAAACTGTTAGTGTTGTTAACACTGACCCATTGGATATAAAATGTCAGGACACTGCAAGACCGGGCTCTACCTATAGATGGTATCACAATAACATCGAACTATTGAATGATGATGGAGACATATATGCACATTCAAGCACACAGTCAATTAGGGGAAAGTTTACAAACACAGTCAGTACATTAAGATGGAAGACATCATCTTTTGTAAAAAGACGTAGTGGGAGTGGTGCCGTGAAATGTAAAGCTGATAATGCCGCAGGGACATCTGACCTTTCATTCAATATAAATGTACAGTGTGAGTATAAAGCTACACCTACTATCAGAGTACATTGACCTTCATCAGTTCATAAACTTTACAGAGTTTAAAATACAAATTCACTTTTCATATTCCAAGTGACATGGTACTACGTTTGACCAAGAAGGGGTTGAGCAATTTATCCAAAAGCTCCTTACGTTCTAGCCTCTAATTTCAAAGTAAAAGGATTTTTTTTAATATGAATATAGAAATATACCAAAAGGTAAAATGCTTGATTCAAATGTGCATATTTTGCAAATGAAAACTTGAATGTTTTGATTAACATTAGATTAATCCACATTTAGTTAAACCATATGGGACTACACTAACAGAGATGGGAACGGTTACAAAGGTGGAGAATGAAACACTGAATGATGTAAACTGCCACTCAAATGCCAACCCTCAAAGCACATTAGAGTGGACATCAACGGCTACTCAGCCTGTCTCAAGTTCTGGTGGTGTTTTAAATATGGGGAAATTAAACAGAGACCACCATGGAGGATATACATGTAATGCTTCAAATAACATAGGATATGAGACCAAACAATTCAACATAGTTGTTAATTGTAAGAAATTGTTGTTATTATTACTAAGTGTAAAAGCCAAATTGATATGATTCACACAGGATATCTAGTCTATCTGAGTCTAGGAAATTTCGGAAATTTAGAGTAATCGCCTTTGACACTACTGAGTTTTAATTGATACAACGCATGGTACTCTCTCATCTTACAACAATCTAATTATATGGCTTTCTTCTATTAAGATATTAATTACATTTTAATTGGCAGTCAGAATCCATAAGAGGCAATATTAGAAAACATCAAAACAAAGTACAATAAGAAAAGAGTGACATTTCCTTTTTTATTGTTGATTCTCTGCTACACTGCTTCATTCAGATCAATTGCATTAATATATTCGTGATTCGCACTGGCGGCAAATTTGAATGTAAGACGGTCCACTTTTAGAAGTATCGACAGATGATCTTAAAAATAAAAGGATTATGAGAAAATGAACTCCTATGGTTGTTTGAGCAAAATACATTATGGAAATGTGATTATTTTGGCTGTGAAACTATCGGAAGTACCACTGTTTATATTATCAGAATGATAGACTGACTAATCAAGTATCTTAAAACACTCAGTTAAATGAAGATGCTACCATGGCAATGCTTTAATTTTGTTTAATTTGATTTAATTTAGTTACACATATCTACAGTTGAAGACTCACTCTATAATGTAACTCGATGGTGACATTTAGTTATTTAGTGACACGTTAGTGCCCTATATAACCGTTCTGTTTTAATTCCAGTTCCATCAAAAGTGATAAGTTTGTCATCATCCTCCGGGACAACCATTGTAGAAAACACAGAATTCACCGTGTCATGCAGAGTTGAAGGACGCCCGATATCTAATGTAGGGCTTTACTTGGATAACCAGAGAGTGGAAGGACCAATTAAAAAACATGAATTGGATCACTATGTTAAAAGTGCCTCATGTCGGAACATGGGAACATACATATGTGAGGCTTACAATAACATTACAAACAAACTTGGTGATAAACAAGAGATCTCAGTTGAAGTTCTTTGTAAGTATTGCCGTGTACAAAATTATGTCATTATTACATTTTGTCAATTTCTTAGTCACATCCTTGGTCGGAGGGTATTTCACTTCATTACATAGACTGAATTGAAAAGTTCCATCATTGACTGGTTAAAAGATGGTACCAGCGGGTCTTACTCGGTGGTATGTTGGCTCACACCGGGTTTGGATTGTATTCGTTTTTTAAGTACATAGTAAATGCGATTTCCTCAATTAGGTATCTCGAAGTTAAAACTATTTCAAATCAGTTACTAATGCAAGTTACGGAATTGTCTGCTATTTTTGTACTGATTCTCATTAAAAAGCCACATAATAATATATTTCATTCAAACTAAAGATATTCAACCATAATCTAAAATCAGTACGTTTGTGAAAAGAATATTCGAGACATACACATATATTAAAATGATAACAATTCTCACGATTCTTTTCAGGTTCCCCAACAGATGATGATACAAATCCTTCACAAACTAAAACTTTTGCAAATGTTGGGGATGATAGGAGTTTTGTTCATAATAACATCGGCTTCCCAATGCCTGAATTCAAATGGTTCAAGCTAAACGCTGAAAATCACACATATTCGCCCCTGCCGAACCACATCTCCACGTATGTGAACACATTTAACAGGTACACCCATCGTGCTGTGATGAACATTCAAGGAGTGAAAGCAACAGACTTTGGAAAATATATTTGCAGAGCATCAAACGTTGTCAGTAACACAGAAAAGATATTTGAACTTGACGCAACAGGTATGTATTACAAAAGACAATGTGAGTTAGGTTCACCACAAAACGATTGTGAATCAGTTACCTAGTTACATTTGTAACGCTTCTTTGGCTATTTCTAGTTATGCGTGTTAATACGGTGTAAAGCATACTGTAAAGCCCCAGTCACATTTGCAACGGCGACCGTACGGTCTATCATTTATACGGCCCATAGCAATTCTACGACTTCCGTGGAAATTCTAGGGTCAATTACTTTACACCCAGTTACATTTCTCGTACGGCGATCATGCGTCGACCACAGATCAATTAAATCAGTGAATTTCTGAGGCGAGTGTAAGAAAATTTGGTCGCCTTGCGGTGTCCGTACGGCGTATCAAGTTATTTACAGCTCGGCAGCATGATAGCCGTAGATAGAATGCATATATTTATTCATTTCTGTGGTCCCCCGTAGAGATCATCAGGCCGGTGTAACAGATTTAAGTGTCCCCCGGTGGTCAGTGTCCTTGGGACAGCCAACCCTAGGGATCGGGGTCCGTAGGACCCCGATCCCTAGGGTTGGCTGTCCATTGGAGGACATTGAAAACCAGGTTTTTTTATCAACAAGGGTAAAATGGGGAGACAGTTATAACTGGGGAGACTCTCAGATCTGTCACACCAGTAACAGATTGTAATGTCCCCCGTTGATAGGATTTAATACTTGTAGTTACTAGGATCCAAGTTATAGTGTAGTCGAAATCGGATATCGGCATCTCTCCCACTGTGGCGTAATGGTTTAAGCGTTGGCATAATGTGTATTTATTAATTGTGTTTGTATTTATTAGGTTCCAGGTTCGAATCCTGCATTGATATATCATGTGTAAAATTATTAACCGTATGCACACTTTATATTGTATTGTATGTTATATAGTTCAATACATTGTAGTATTTTATATTGTAGCCTATTATTATTGGTGCCCATTTTTTCATCTTCAAATGATACCACCAGTTTTTATAGATATTCTTTATTTATTTATTTTTTTATTCCTCTTAACCACTTTTCTCCTACTTCTAGCTAGGTCTGAGATAACTCTTATATGCTTCTACTAAGGACCTGAGCTGCACTTGGCAGGGAAGGAATTTTTATCTAGGTCAAGGTCGAAGGCCAAATCTAGGTCAAATCAGAGTTTTTTTAAGTTTCTCAGATTTCGTCTTCATATTTCATGAGTATTTCTTGCAATGAATTAAAATGTAACTAGATAAGCATTCCCTACAAATTGCTTACTATATGTTTGCGTTAAATCTTTACCGTTTTTGAGATAATTGACGAAAAAAAATTGGTCATATTGCTTCAAATTGACCAATTTATTTTTTAAAATCATCTACAAATCACCGGGAACTCAAATCTGACCTTTCTTTTGACCTTCTGGGTTCAAATTTAGGTTTATTTAATCACAAAAAGACCCACTGATGTCTAAGGATAAGTATCGATATGGTGAAGTGAATTCAACAATGTTTTTCTCTTAAACCATTTATAGGAAACATTCTGTAAAATACACGGTCCTTTATGTAATGTTGACTGATTGGCAACAATATAATGCAAAAATAATGCATATACATGTATATTTTATATAACTGTTTTTGCTAACATTTTTTTATGTAATTGTTTTTTGTTCCTTTTTACGAATTCTTGAGAATGAAATAAAATGTCTTTCCGAACCTTGTTGGAACAAAATAGCATAAACAGCATTTTCTTAGACCTCTCAATATTATAGTTATACAAAGAAAATTTGGGTTGATTTAACAAAAAGTATCCAAAAACTTCAAACAAAACCCCTAAAATAGATAAAAATTAAGATAAACCTTTCATTTCATTAACAAGATACTTATTTAAAACCAACCAAACTTTCCTTTGTACAATTGCAATATTGAGAGACCTAAACACGTTGTGTTTATATGTCGTTTTGTTCCAATGAGGTTCGGATAGATATTTCATTTCATTCCGAATATATGATACCAAGAACAAAAAAAGTGTCTGATGTGTTTTTCTAAAACAATATAGAGAAAAGTCTATATATATAATTCAAATTATAATGTTACCATCCAAAAGATGACCATTAAATGGACGATGTGTAAAATTTTCAGAATGTTTTGATGACTGGTTTAAGAGAAACGCGTGTTCAAAAAGTTCATCATATCGATACCACTCCTTTGCAAGGTCATATGTCAAGGTCATCAAACTAAATCACAAACTGTGTTTTCTTAGTTTATCAAAGTTGATGATTATAAATCAATATTTTTTGATGAAAGTCAGAATATATATTCCACTAAAGGTTCTACACATATAAGCAATTGACTATCCATTAAAATTGTGCGACAGTTTTGAGATATTAGACCTCAAAAACTGAAAAAAGGTCAAATTTCGAAACTTTTCAAGACTAATTTTCAACTTGCTTCAAATTGACCAAACATTTTTATTTAGGAGTACATATACGCGATAAATATACTTACATTTTGTGAATTGTGTTATATTTGGTCTATATTTAACGTGACAGAGTAGTGCTCGATGATTTATTAATGATAAAACGCATTATTAGTTAATACATAAATAAAGGGGGGGGGGGGGCACTAAAAACTAGCTTTCGAATGATGCTGGTTTTTTGTGTCCCCAAGGGGACATTCAAAACTTCAAGGGGGACACTTAAAACTTGTCCGACGGACAAGCATCCCCAGGGTTAACTGTCCCACGGACACTGGCCACTGGGGACACTTAGATCTATTACACCGGCGTAGTGTTTTGATGGGTTATGTACCCAGTTTGAAAACAGTTTTCAGATCATGTTTGCTGTCATATATTTGCTGCGAACACAACGCTATGGTATTGTGCTTGGTATACTGTAAGGTCACTTATACCACGGCAACATCGAAAGATAAAGTTACCATTGGTCAATGTTTCACACCAAATTCTTTTTTGGTATTACATCCTAGCACTATAAACAGTATCTATAAATAGACTAGATGCAAGTAGAAATATTCTTGATTTATGTCATTGAATATTCAAAGTTCAGTCAAAAGTAATGCCATTTTTGAAATCTACATGTAAAAGTACTTCTAGAAATATGGTTTCGAAAATTTTTTTTTTTTGAAAATGTGACTTCTAGTTCGGGGAGATTCCCATAGACCACACGTTACAAAATCACTAAAAGTGAAATATCTTTTTCATATCATTTTCTCTTACTGGACATATTTTAGATAGCATGACTGTTAGATACATAAGGGTTATTATATGAAATGTGAACCTCTAAGACAGATGTAAGCTTAATTTAAAAAGGCAATTTTCTACTATACCTGTCATGCTATCTGACCGGAACGAGCCACCTGGTGATGAGGCTGGTAACTACCTACTCGCATTTGCGTTAGATGAGATACTGAATGATGTAAATAAAAAAACAAAAACATTTAACGTTTGTGAACAGAAATTCAAAATTCACCGTGTGGCTGTCGTTGGAAATGTGACTGGAAAAACTATCCGACTGCAGAAACTCTACGACAAGCGTAGACATGTTACTGACCACGGAAATGATAGACCACACGGTCGCCGTAGGAAATTAATGTGACAAGGGTGTTCGCAGTGGTAACAGGACAACTCATCCCTAAGACAACTCATCCCAAGACAACTCATCCCCAAGACATCTCATTCCAAGACAACTCATCCCAAGACATCTCATCCCAAGACATCTCATCTCAAGACATCTCATCCCCAGACAACTCATCCCTAAGACAACTCTTCCCAACTTGAAATATAACATTATTTTATACAATTAATTTTCACTTTTGAAAGAATGAAATATATTTAGAGATTTTAGCAGTTAGCACACTGGTCATGGAATATCTTTGTTTTTTTATTAATATATACATTTTTCATGCTGTATTTTAAACTGACACATTTCATATTTTGTCATGCTGTATTTACTTCATATTTTTGTATTTTGTGGTTAGTTTAGCCTAGTTTTAGATAATTTTTGTTGACTGATTGGGATAAAGATAAACATGTTCAAATTAATATATACTTTGATTATTAAATCAAGATCATCAAAGGAGTAGGATTAACTCAGAATGTATTATCCAAGGTGCTATCAGAATAATTCTCTCAGATTAATTCAGTCTTTGTTTTAAAATATTTTGGCTTAATCCTCAATAAGATTGCCAATCTCAAACTTTCAGATTTATGATGATTAAATTTGGAAATAGTGTCTATGACTTTTATGTTCAATTCTATATTCTCAAATATATTTAGAATAACCCAGAATTAATCAAAATAGCGGCAGTACTTACAGGTAAAACATAACTTTCAAGTGCAATTTCAAAATGCTAAAAATCAGTATTACAAAATTGAGTGTAATCAAATCACTTTGTAATCATAAAAAAGGGATATATATATATATATAATATAGAGGACAAAATAATTTATCAATTATACAAGTGGGATGAGTTGTCTTCGGGTGAGTTGTCTTGGGATGAGATGTCTTGGGATGAGTTGTCTTGGGGATGACTTGTCTTGGGATGAATTGTCTTGGGGATGACTTGTCTTGGGATGAGTTGTCTTAGGGATGACTTGTCTTGGGATGAGTTGTCTAGAAACCTTCGCAGTCACGTCGCTATTTTGATGTTGAGGAGACATAAAAACTACAGTTGCCGTCCAGCCTCTTAAATGATGACGCACGATCAGCTTAGGGTGCCCTATTGCGGGCGTAGTCTTTTTGACAAATACCAAGGCAGCGAAATGCGGCCACATGAGTCTTACGGCGATTCAGTTGCAAATTGACAGGGCTTACGGACAACTCATCCCCTAGACAACTCATCCCTGGACAAATCATCCCCTAGACAACTCATCCCCTGGACAACTCATCCCCTAGACAACTCATCCCCTGGACATCTCATCCCCTAGACAACTCATCCCCTGGACAACTCATCCCCTAGACAACTCATCCTTTATCACATGAAGCCAAATTGTTAAGTTTTTTTCGGAAAATAAATATTTATTAAATACACCTTGAATCATTCTTAATATCATTTTTCACTTTATTGACACAAATAAAATGGTCAAACGGTGCCAATAAAACTTTCATATTCTGTCCTTATATTACATGACTTAATATTTCATGACAAAAAATAAAGTTTTCTTTCTGCATAATTTTGAAACATGAACTTCAGTAACTTCATCTGTGACTGCTGTTAAAAAATTATAGTTGGATTAAAGAATATTTGAACTATAACACACATATAATGACATCAAAGGAGCTTCTTCAATCAATGTTAACATAATATTGAAACTGTATATTAAAATTAAAAGTGAATATTTACAAAACAAATTACAGATTAATTGGTTGATAATCTCCTTGACAATACCATAGTAGTACCATGGCATATCATAGTTTTTTAAACAATTTTCCAGATTTCCCCTCAAGAAATCACTTTTCAGTCAAAAGACAACAGGCGTTTCATGTTCAGGCTAGGCAATTGGGCGCCATAACCATGAGGTTGCAAGTTCGAGGTGCTTTTGCTCCTTGTGTTTATTCATTTGAAGTTCTGTTTACGTAACAAAAGTGAGGTATTAAATCGAGGATCGTGTTAATCATTTGAATAATATATGAATTAATAATATTACATTAAATTCCTCAAACATGCCAAAGGATGAGTCGTCCAGGTGATGAGTTGTCCAGGGGATGAGTTGTCTAGGGGATGAGTTGTCCAGGGGATGAGTTGTCTAGGGGATGAGTTGTCCAGGGGATGAGTTGTCTAGGGGATGAGTTGTCCAGGGGATGAGTTGTCTAGGGGATGAGTTGTCCAGGGGATGAGTTGTCTAGGGGATGAGTTGTCCAGGGATGAGTTGTCTAGGGGATGAGTTGTCCGGTTACCATTGACAGTACATTGGCTACAGCTTGTTAACCTCTGTAGTGACTAGTGACCCTAGAAATGAAAAAATAAAACTCAGAGTTATAAGTTTTACGGCCACTCTAGTTAAATATCTGGATACCTAGTACGGAGATCGTATATTTTCTACGACTGTCGTAGGAATTTACTGATTTCAGGGATGCGAGAGGAAACGGGGGACGTTTATTTGAGCCCTAAGATAAAAAAGTCACACGAAGCCCCCATGGGGTACAAATTCCCCCCCCACTTGTAAAATCTTTATTAGTAAAGCTAAGATGTTCAAACTTTCCCGAATATATTTTATTCAATTATCTACTTTATGATGTAATATTTTCAACAACCATATGTAAGATTACGTAATTTTATTCTAGAAACAACACATGGTAGAATTAGCGATATTCCCCGTTTATTTTGTCTCTTGGAGTTGATGATTGCGTGTCATAAAATAAAGTAATCACCACATGTATATTTTTGCTGATTTTTACAGAATATATTGTTTATCTGTAGCTCCAGCTACTGAGAATTTGAAGATCCTACCTGATGCCTATAAAAGGTTTTAGAGAAAAACTCAACTGTGTGTGGGTTTTGTACCCCCTCATGGCTTCTAGGGTTAATGGATAACACGCGTTTCATTTAAACTTGAGAGATCTGATAAAAACTTTAGAGTGTAAGGGCATGCTTACGAATTTTAAAGAGAGAAAAATAAGGAAAAAATCATTTCCAGGAGGTACAGGAGGTGGACGCAGGACGATGGCTTAACCCTTGGTCGATTTATGTCAATAGAATAACATCGATCCTTAAACTGAATGGAATCATAATGGCGGTATCTCATTTTCAGTCAATATTAATAAAAGGCAAATCGATTGAGTGTGACCTGAATATAAAAAATATGCAACCTTTAAAGTGGAGAACTTATTTGAGAAAAAATAAAACATTATAGATCTTACCTTCTTTCACCAATGAATCCTCTACTCGGTAATAAGAGGGACTGGTGCATAATACACGAGTCTGACGATACATTTTATCCGTTAGCGTAATTGTTTGCAACATTGGCCGAATGTGTTTGTTTTTCGAGCACATTTTTTTTAAAACATCAGTAATTATCTACCATTCTAATATGATACGTGACGCCACAATATATAGCTAGAACAATTGATATACTGGTCTATACTGGAGTATGTATGACCGCTAAAATTCACAAATGCAAATAGTTGTGTTTTTTGTCTGTATATCATATTATAATCGTAACAAAGACCTCGATTTTATGATTTATGTTAAATATATGACCTCAAAATTAATTCTGGCTATTGCCAAAGACCTCAATCGCTTAACGATTTCGGTCTTTTAACAATTAACAGAATAAAAGTTTAGGTCATATAATGGGCCATAAATCATTAAATCTTTGTCTTTATTCCTTAAATATAGGACCACCTGAAAAGCCAAACAGCGTAAAGGTTATAACTGCAATTACAACAGCAGTGTCGCTGTATATCCAATGGACACCTGGTTACAACAATGGAAAACCTCAAACATTTTCTGTTGAGTATCGGAAGATCAAAGAAACACTATGGACAGAGTGCAGGAAAAACATTCCAGATCCTCCCCCTCTACCATTTAAGGTCCATCCACTTGAAAGTAATACATCGTATGTATTTAGAGTGAATACATGGAATGCCGAAGGATTTAGTGAATATACGGAGCCATCAGAAATAGGAACTACGTGGGCATTACCGAAGAGTAATGAAATCAACCCTAGCTTTTTAAAGGATGGGAATAACATAATTGTGACTTTTAACAATTATCCGATAAATTGCACTAGTATCACTATATATTGTTGCGACCCAAAGGTAGTAACTAACTGTATAACAAAGAACGTTACAGACTTTGGAGAAACACCCAAAGAGGTAGTGATAGAAATCGAAGATGAGATGAAGTACACAGTGGCCTTTCATTATTATCAGCGGGATGACATCATCCATCAGTCTCAACCACAAATTGCAGAACAAAGTAACAATTAACTTTGTATTCATAATCCTTTTTCGATCGTTCTGTGTTTATATTATAAGATGTTTACGCTTTGCATATTAATTAAGATTTCCCCACACCATATTCTGCAAGTTTTATAGACTGAGATGAAATATGAATGAAATGATCATTTTATCATGACAATAATCCATTTTCTTGGAACCTTCTTATCTAAAATAATTTAATTATGCTATTGAATCCGTTCTAACCAACATTGTTCCATGTCTTCAAAATGCTATTTAAGAGAAAACAACGGCCAATGTAGGGGCAATAGTCGGAGGTGTCTTCGGGGGACTGTTTCTAGCTGCATTGGTTGCGTTCATTATTGCTTTTCTATTGCGGAGAAGACGATTCACTAGAACAACAGGTAATACCAAATGTGGTTTAATAGAAATTTTTAATATACATTTGTAGATGTCTGTCTTTTACAATATATATTGATCTAAATCAATAACACTTTACAAGGATATATTGAATGTCGTACAATAACAACTGAGGTTTACTTTATTAAATATTATTTAGAAAAAGACGGAAACCGTGACCAAAAACTAAAGGAAATTGAACAAAATGGTCCACCTGCTATTGGAGGTTCGGATAACTCAGCTTATGAAACTATCGAAAGGTGTGATCCACACGAAGAAAGGGTTTGTCAATTTTTAGATGCTAGTTTCTAACCTTACGGATATAATGATGGTGTTTTTTTGTAAATACGCTTGCAACTTGCAACTATTTTAAGATAATTGCATATTTCAATCGGTTAGTATGTGGAGATATTGAAAAGTTTAATAAAGTATTTGCAATTGAAACCAATGTAGTGTTGGTTTTAAAATGTCATATTACATTTTTAAACACGATAGACATATGACACGGTACCTAAAGAGAACTTTGAGATTTCTTCAAGTCAGCTGAAACTTGAAAGGGAAATTGGCAAGGGAGAGTTTGGTGTGGTATGGAAAGGTCAAGGAAAAAACATACCAATGTGTGATAAAGTTGTAGATGTAGCCATCAAGACTCTCAAAGGTAAGATCCAGACAATCACAAAATAAACATATGAATTTGAACTGTTAAATCAATGAACGGTGGATTACATAATACGGACAGAATTTATGAGGTTTCGTACCTAATTCATTTGCATGGTTATTTGCGACAATGGTCACTATCTGTTCAGTTTGAAATCACAGTGATATTGTTCAAATATTGTACAAATAAACTGTTTTTGTATAATTTCATTTTAAATGCTGTATATATATTCTATACGTGTATCGAAATTGTTTATCTGTTCCATAGTTTACTATATATCTAGTATTATAAGATATGAACATACAGTTTATCATTCTGTAGATCCGAGTGAGAAAAACAAAGGTGACTTCTTAAAAGAACTGGAAGTTATGAAACTGCTCAGTCATCCTAACGTTGTAAGTCTCATTGCATGCTGCACCAAAAAAGGTAAGCAAATGTTTAAAACAACATGTTACCATCGAAATGATGTAGCAATAACTGGAAAGGTTGTATGATATGTGTCTTCTTCGAGACAAACTGTATGTTCATCTCAAAATGTGTGCCAATATAATTTGCTCCAAAACCATCACCATAAATAAATCATAATAATTCCAGACCCATACTATATTGTTGTTGAATACATGGAAAATGGTTCCGTGAAAGATTTTCTTAAAAAGAACAGAGCCGATGGAAACAAGGTGTATGACAATCTCCACTCGGGAACAAAGTCACTCACGTCAAGGCAGCTGTTACTATTTGCACGGGATGTAGCAAACGGGATGTCTTGTTTGGAATCATACAAGGTAATGCGACTTAAACCAAATACTTATACTCTGCTTTCAAAATCGGTAAAACTTTGTTTAATGAATTGCAATTATTTTTCAATTTGCATACTGAAATACTGAGTTTTGGTAAAATGGTGAAAAGTCGCATATTAACCATCATAGCTGTATAAACATAAACAACGTTAACATATTTTATAGATCATTCATAGAGATTTGGCAGCCAGGAATATCTTAGTTGATAAAGAATTAAGGGCAAAGGTTTCTGACTTTGGGTTCGCCAGAGATGTTGGAGAGGATGGTACCTATGAGAGAGGATCACAGGTATGATTGATGAATTTGATCTCACTCCTATCAATGCCGTTGTCTAAGCTGATCATTTTAAACAAAATCTAAGGTTTTACTCAAATATCTTATAATTCAACCTGTCATCTCAATGTACAGGGTGTTTCATAATGACCGTCCCCCCATCCACAGCCAATCCTAGATCACGTGGCCCCAGTCTATATATCATAGAAAAGGTTATTCAATTCTGGACTTATGTGCCAAATTCTAGCATGACTGGTCGATGAGAATGTAATTTGTAAACTTATGTTTGATAATCACTATACCCTCAGTTTGTGTGATTTGTGGCTTCCATTTCTAATGGATTTTAAGAGAGGAGCATAGTTGCTATATATAATCTATTGAATCACCAATAGCTATCTGGGTATTTCTTTGAAATATTTAATACTTTTGTCTTTCAAATATCATTGGGATATATCCTCAGCATCCATCAAATGTTATAAGTTGTACATTACTATAGATAATAGTGTATTGAGGCATGATTATCATAGCTGTTTGCAGGGCATGTGGCTAATTTTGGAAAAAAGTAGATATCAGATTCTATGCTTGAGGTAAAATGGGTACCTTGTGTAGAGGTATGTAGCAAGTTGTAAAGACTGTTGAGCTTATTCAAAATTATTTTAATTAGTCCAGAATTGAACAAGCTTTCATATGATATATAACATATGCTGGTATGCTATTTGGGTTTGGTGGTTGATGGAGGGACGGTCATTATGAAACACACAGTATACATGATAGCATAAATATAATTTGTTCATACAGAATAACTTGAATAGAATCATATATTCTAAAAAAAACATTTTTAAGGATCAGTCTTGTCTTTCAAGGGTAAATTGCCTATTCGTTGGATGGCTATCGAATCACTGATCTACAACTTGAGCACATGCAAGAGTGACGTTTGGAGTTATGGTGTTCTGTTATGGGAGATCATAAGTCTGGGTAAGTATATAATTTACAATTAAAATGGCACCATGAACATATTTAACAGCAATTCGTTTTCATTAAGGTAATTAAGATAAAGCCATTTGTGTTTAATGAAAAAGGGTTAATTCTTTATGGAGCATAATACACTTTTTATACGTGTTATACAGGTGCGACACCATACCCTGGTATGGGAGCCCGTCAGATCATGAAAGACATAGGTCGAGGATACAGGATGGAAAAACCTAAACAATGTGATCAACAAATGTAAGTTGCCTTTGCGTATATATGAAATTTTATTTGACATTGTATGTTTTAAAATTAGTACTGTAGATAGAATTGAAAGTGCACGAATACAGCTGTATAATAAGTGTAAAAACAATTCATCCTCAACACCTGGGGTATAATACTTGGAATGCACAAAGTAATTTGTTTCAGATACGAATTGATGTTGAAGTGTTGGAATGAAAGTCCAGAGAAGAGACCTGAGTTCAAAACAATTGTTCAGACGGTGAACAACATTATTGAAGGAAACCATGATGATTATGTAAAGTTAGATGCAATTCCAGAACATATTTATGTCAATTTCCCAAAAATGGATGATGAACTAAATGAACGTATTTAGGCAACTGATCATGTTTACAATATGGCACAAAAGACGATGTTATGTTCCAGTATAGTCTGCCATTCATCAATACGGCTAATATTGTAAACAAAAGCATCGTTAAAACCTTGGAACAATTCACGTATTAATTCTGGATGAAAAACATTCTAATCATCTTGGGAGATGAATTTGGCATTTGAATATATAGTGCTGTAGATCTGAAGCTTTTTATTCACTACTTATCCAAGAAAACGCGTTCCACATCTTGTTTGTAATGATGTCCAGAGTGCTGGTCGCTCCATACGCCCCCAATGCGCAACATCATCTATACAGTACTGTTTGTTTTGAAAACAGCGCTGTCTAGCACTGTTTTAGAAACTACGCTGTTTGATGCTGTTTGGTGTGTGTATGTGTGTTTTTGAAAAAATATTGTAATTTGATATCTATTTGGAAACATTATAGTAACGTACCCTGTATGAACATGATATAAATGATACGTTGGTAGAATATTACAACTACTGGTGTTATGTAGATTAATATATATATACAGGGTGGTCCAAAAAAATTGGAACATTTGTTAATTGAACACAAAACCTTTATTGTTCCTCTAAAATGCACCAAAATTTCACTGAACATAGTTCAGTCACTTATCTCTCTGATGTAAAGTTTATAGGTGCAAACCACAAACTTAAGTTAATGCATTAAACTAGTCAATGTTTGATATGACCCCATTTTCTTAAATATACACTTGTCAATTTCGCAGCTACTTTTTCAAGTATTCTTTATTTCAAAGCTTTAATGAACATGTTATTTGCTATACGCATTTTATAAAATCATATTTAGTTGACATGAGGTATTAACATCTATGGTTTACTGGAAAACTATTGTGTTATTGTCAACTTAAGAATACCCCGAATCATTATTTTTATTTAAGGGTAGGAAAGAAAGAACATGTCAGAGGTGAGTGATTGCATAACCCATACAGCTACTAAACTGACAAAATCATTGTTTCCACTTTTCAGTAGAGGGGAAACGGACTAGTTATTTACAAGGCTTTATTGAAGATCACCTCTAAGCACACATAATATAATATATCATTTGTGTTCTGGAAAACTAACTCCTTTATGATATTGATATACATATATTGATATATTCAATGAATATTATTCATATTAGAACAAGAAAGGGGGAGGGGCTTCATTTACCAGTCAAAACAGACTGCCCTGGCCTCTTTCTGGAGAATATTCAATCAGTAATATATCCAACAACAGGCATCAAAATATGCTTGATACCCATCAATTTGGGTAAAAAATGTCGAATATGTTCATATATTTGATCTTCCAAGGCAAACACAAGTAGTTTGTTCAAGCTGAATTTTTAATCGAGTTTGCTTGGACAAAATCATACGAACAGCAAAGTGAATGAATCATTTCAAAACTGAGTCCCAGGCTTCAACTTGTAATTCAGGAGAAAAGGGGTCATATCAAACATTCTCTAGTTTAATGGATTAACTTTGTTGTTCGCACCTATAAACTTTACATCAGATAAATAAGTGATTGAACAATACTCAGTACAATTTTGGTTCATTTTAGAGAAAAAATAATGATTTTGAGTTTAATTATCAAATGTTCCAATTTTTTGGACCACCCTGTAGAGGTTACCTAATGGGAGATTTTGATACAGGGTATATCTGATTACAATTACAATCGAAACATGAATATTTTATCTCAATTTAAAGTTCTTAACATTTACTGTTTTTTTAAATTGTACAGTTTTTAAGGATCTGACTTGCTTGCGGATGCCTGCTCGTTACACAGTCGAAATAGTAATCCATTTATCACAAAGGGGTAAAATTATGAAATTAATCATAATCATTTAATCCATAAAAGGGCAGATACGTTATTGCCTGCTTTTTAGACAGCTTTTACTTAAGTTATAATAATTATTTGACCATAAAAACAGATGCGTTTGTTTGGTCAATAAGAGGAAATAGAATGAAAGTAAAGTCGATCGGATTATCTACTCTAAAGCTGTCATCAATCCACCCATAATCACCACATTTTTGATATGGTTAATGTACAAACAGATCGGGGGATATTACAAAGTTGATCTCCGAAAAGAATAAAATAACAAAATAACATTATGACAAATGGATTATGAGATAATCCCTTTCTTATTTTGTTATTTTTTTTCTTACCAGATATTTGTTGGAATAATGCTTATCTATCGATAACGCAGATGCGAGTAGGAAGTTACAAGTTTCACCACCAGGTGGCTCGTTTGGGTCAGATAGTATGGCGGGTATAGTAGAACGTTTCATTTAATTTATATTACATCTGTTTCAGTGGTTCAGTTTTCATATACCCAATTATGTACTATCTAATAGTTATGCGAATTAATATATTTCTAGTAAAATAAAATGTTATCTGTCCAATGCAAGAAAAGATATTTCAATTTTTGTGATTTTGTAGCATGGGGTCTATGGGGAATTAACCCGACCTGAAGTCGCATTTTCAAAAAATATTATATTTTCAAAGTTGATAAACAATTTTCGAAACCATTAATTACTTGATGTACTTTTACATAGAGGTTTCAAATATGACATCACTCTGACTGAATTTTGAATATTTAATGACGTAAATGAAGATTATATCTACACTGTTCGTACCTTTTTGGCAATTCGAGCATCTGAAATAATTCCATTTCTTCATCGATTCATTAAATTCAGGCATTTTATTTGTTCCTACTTTTTTATTCTTATCGAATAATCACATTTTAAGAAAGAAAATCTATGTAAGCCATTTTTTATCAGAAAAGAAGGATTCCCATGTTAAATTAAAATGTTTCAAAAAAGAACAAAACGGCCATTTACAATAGGTAAAACCAATATGTCTGTGTCAATTTGAGTGTCACAGCTTTTATTATTGTAGAATCCATTATTGGACATTAACTAACATGTCATGCATAGCTATAGATAGTACACGTATTTCCTGTACATCGAAAACCTATTTGTTATGTCAGTTAAAAACAGAATCTTTGCACTGAATTCATTAAATCCAGCTTGTGACTACATCTAGTATTTTTAAAGAAGCATTGAGAGAGAGAGGGAGATAGCGATGACAAATCTTAACGATAGCATCTTGCATCAGGAGTTTGTCTCCGGAGCGGATTCGATAGAACGATAGCAAGCATCTATGCAACTCTAGGGTATATGTTGGTAGTTACGATATGGTTTGCAAACGGACTAGTTTTAGTTGCAATAGCAACAACGCCGAACCTAAGGAACATGACGAACCTTTTAGTGTTCAATGTATCACTTTGTGATATGTTCACAGGGGTAACATTCATCCCATGTATCATTAGAAGCTTCATCAGCCCCCGTGGATCTGATTATAACAAACCGCTGTGCCTAAGTTGTCTAGGATTTTCGTCGCTCGTTTGTTCCGTTTCCTTGGAGACGCTTTTGGCTATCGCCGTAGAACGATATATTAAGATCGCACACGATCTGTCCTACTCAAAGATCATCACCAAGTTCAGGCTGATCGCTATCATCATCATCATCTGGACTAGTAATGCCGTTCTACATTGTAGTATTTTCATTTGGAACAATTACGATTTGACGACGATTTTCCAAATCTGTAAACCTGTTAACGTCGCAAAAACAGCTTATCTTATCGTTGCCATGTCAACCATAGTCGTTGCTATGGGCATAATTGCTGTTCTATATGTGAAGATGTTTCTTACAGCTCGGAAGCAGAGGAATGAAATCGTCGCCGGAAATGTAAGTAATGATGCCGCGTGTAGTACAACAAGGGACACGGAGTCAATGAAAACGATGGCTTTAGTAAACGGACTTCTTTATATATTTTGGGCACCGTTGTTTACTTTAGTATTTGCCCAGTGGTGGTTTGACGACGAAACTGTACACTCAAGTTGGTTCAGACACGTGTATGCGAGTTTTGAACTTTTTCTTGTCGGAAACTCGTTTGTTAATCCAATTGTTTATGCAATCAGGAGCAAAGATTTCAAGGATTCATTTAAAAGACTCCTCAGACTGTAAACATTTGGGCTGTATTTGCGTATACACGCGTGTGCAATTCACTCGCACAGCACTTCTTAAATCCAGTAGGTATCACGAACAAGAACAATAAGCTCCGCGATGCAAATTGCATGCTCATATGCTTTCAACTACAACAGCTCATTCCGCTTTCCCAACTTTTTCAGCACACTCGTTTCGGCCAATCGCAGGTGCACCACAGGAGTACAATATTGCAACACACGTTGGTGTCTTTGTGCGCTAAGATGAGTCGTATTTGTTTGAAACATGCCACCATGCAAAACACACCGTGGAGCCCATTGATCTTTTTCATGATAAGGCTTATAAAGTGACATCTAGGGACAGCAACATATATTTAAATGTGGTAGCTTGAAGCTATGTACAGAGAAGTCAAATTGAGCCGGAACTATATGAGATATTACATGGATATTTTATTTCTTTCTGTGAAATGTTGATATACTGTATTAATTAAAATGTCGTCATTGTTGTTTTTGTAGGTACATATACTATATGCTTATGTTTATATCTATTAACATACAAGCAGTGATATTATATATTTTTTCAAAATTGGTACCAAACGATTAACTTGTATAGTTGTATCGGCATTATTGTTTAATCACCAGCCCACATATTACATTTGGAAATATAAAATTGATGTTGATGTTTTATTGAAAATAGGTAATGACTATCTATAGCTGTTGTTTATGAATAAATTAGTATTGATAATACATTGATGTTAGTATTAACATTAAAGCGTCATTATTTGACAGTACATCTCTTTTGATAAAGTCTCATTCATTCAATCTAAATGCTCGATTTAGGACCATTTATACATAATGGAAAATCCAACAATACAATGAAAAAATCCTACTTTTTAAAAATGGGGTATTTATAGGTAAAATCACCACATCATTTAAGTTTCATTATCACAATACGGGAACATAACACCAAGGGACACTTCATCGATGCAGAAGCCATTGCATCAGTCTTTACAACATATGTTAAAGAATAAACATGACTTGACGTTGATAACCAATACTCATAACATCAAAAAAGTTCCACATAAACACAATTCTACCATGGCCATCAGCTTGATATGATAGTGTCACAGCAAATATGTTGGCATATATATCTCCCTTGATATTACCAGTTCATTATATTCTTATTTTTACAATATTGTAACTCATGGAAATAATAAAAATATGCTACGAAAAATAAAAAATATTTTACACTAATGCATCATGTTTCTATAAATGTTGAAACCACATTTGTTATTTGAGAGAATTTAACTATTTTATCCACATTTTGCACTTTGAATCGTAAATTACTTCTCCGATATGTATAACTTATTACGGACCTTTTGGGGATATTATATTTGAGATTGTAAGGAATATATTGCTAGAAACATCATCTCATTAACTCTCTTCAAGGTCTGATACTCAGTCTTTAATCTAAAAAATGAATAGGCAGGTCGTCTAGCACTGATATACACACAATGTGTTTTTGTCAATTTATTTATTGATAGCATGTTAATATGGGTTAAAGGTGTAACTTGTTCTGTTTTCGTCAGATCCACCACAGATTATATTGTTCCTGGGATTACGTCCCGCATTAGAACAGCGGTACTCTACTCCATCACTGATGTGCAAATTAATTTAAATAAAAATAAAATAATTCAAAGTCTCGTGGAATCATTAAATCCTGCATTATTCATTCCATGAGTATGTGATGCCTGTCCATCTCTTGATCTAATGATATCATTCTTTAAACTCGAGACTTCATTCTGCAAAACAGATTTGGTGTGATTAAGATTCAGGTAAATTGTTGTTAAATTTTGACAATATTATATTTTTCATTGATTGTATCATGACACCAACATTTCTTAAAATAAATGAGATGATCAAAGCACAGAGAACTCTCTGAAAAGAGACTTTGTTAGTGAAATAATGCATCGGTTATCAAAATCTAATCCTTTAGCTAGAAGAATATCAAAGCGTTTCTTTTCATAGCGACTAGCCCACATTTGAAACCATTGCCTTCGTGAAAATGAACTTAATAAATCTGAAATAAACCCTTATGTTACCATTGGTTTTGAGAATGACATCTTCTTCCATGATCTACAACCTGTCCATAGCAGCCTTTCGTCTTTCACTTCATATCCTCCTGAAACAATGAACGCGTCAAAATAATATGGTTTATACTAAAACAAAAAGCGAATTTATAACTTATAAAAATTATGACCCATGTAATACATATGCCCCCTGTTATTATCATGTTATATATGATATATTGTATGATGGAATTTTGAATTGTTTTTCAGACGTGTCTGTCTTGATTGAAATCAAGTGAGAACGCAACAGATCCAAAATTTATACGAGGCGGTGTTGCATAGAACAGGTCCAAATAACATACTCCTGTCTAAAGATTAATTTTACAAATTCAGAGTTTTAAAGCCACTTAATCATATGAAAGTCAAATACTTTTGCTCACCCTTTGCGCAATTTGCAATGAGGCTTACGGGAAGTCCAACAATAAGCATCACAATCAGCGCAATCAGCGTGTACCAAACATATGATACTTTATACCAGTTGAAAATATCTGGCCTAGAAACATAAACATATAAAATGATAACTACAGTAAATGAGTTTTTCTGCTGGGCTCCAAACATTAAGACATATTAAAATATCGGTGTCAAACTTGCAACTGTATGATTCATCATATGCTATCACATGACAATAAAAACCTGTTGAAAAACAATGGCTTTTACATCGAATTGAACAAATGATGAAAATTTAGTATCCAGCTTTTCGTGGAATCTACATTCTTCAATGTAGCTTATGATTAGCTTTGTCTTTTTTATGTATTTAAATATTCATACTCATCATCCTGTTTTGTATCACCTACGCTAGAGTATGAAGTAGTAATAACCGGGCCCAATGGTGACGTGTTGAAAGAACCTGTTGATGTTGTGTTGAAAGGATCCACTGATGTTGTGGTGAAATTGGAAATGTTTCCACATCCAGAAATATCAGTTGGTAGATTTTCAAGGCGAATTTTGAACATGAGAACTCCAGCATTAATCCAGATTAAGACACCAAGACTTGCTATAAGGCCAGTTGCTACCCCCTATAAATAAAAGAACACCCTGAGGCAATAACCATATATCAAATAAACTCAACCCAAGAATGCATCTGAATGTGTATGTATGAATAAGATCATCAGACCACAATAATATATTTAGGTATCTGGTTGATGCACATCTATACATTTACCCATGAATTTGCACAAGGAAATAGGATTCCAAATGTGAACATTGCAAAGATAGGTCCGCCTAAGATGCCCAACAGCTTCCATGCTATATTCAGTACTGTTTCTTGCGTTTCCGTTAGTAAAAATGTAACAGCTATTGTGGCAAGTCCGAAGAATATACCTTCAAGTACAAATTCACCGTTGATTTCTTTGTTTAGTTAACACGAAAATCTCATTTGTTTCCATGATGGCTATTATAATGAAACTGCATTATGATAGCCATTTTGAAAACAACGGTTCTGTTAAAGTAATATAGAATGAATTTAAGGCAATTTTAGCAAAAAATATTTCATATCATCTGAAGAACACTGTCTTACCTCGATACTAGGATATATTCAACCCATATAACTGAAGGATATGGGAGATTTCTCATTTTGAAGTGGGTACATTGAATTTGATTTCACATCGTCCAGTTCGAATTATGCGCACAAGTTGATGACGTCACCAAAGTATGTTTGTTTACATATTTTCTTGCATATAAAACTTGGGAGAAAATGTGACCTAATTTTGAAAAGAGTAATTTTCGTGTTCTGTACGTAGTGATTACACAATGTTTTATTAATTATGTGTTCCTGATATAATAATTATTATTTTGTAAGAAATAGATTGAGTGATTGCTTAGAAAACCGTCAGAAATAAGTGGAACCTAGAATATGAAACAATTCTCCTAACCTCTAAATTTGAATAGCTCACAGGTCATAGCCTCGTTCTGATTATTAGTCACATGACCTTTGACTAGGGAATCCCCAACAATGTGCAAATGTGAGTAAATTTATTCCTGTTGATAACGCTAAATTGTGAAGTCAAAACACAACCAAGGTCAGTAAAAACGATGTTTATATGTACCAATGTGCTTTGGGATTCAGATTTTCTTATTCATATATAGGTTGAACTAACATTTCATCCATTCTAAATTACTTTAAGATCAGATTCAAAGCTGTCCCACAGACACATACATTTCACCTGTTTATTGTCTTAAAAACATCAAACCCCAATATAAATAAAACTTACCGAAGCATTTTGTGATATTGGTAGCAAATCTTTCCGAAATCGGTTTCTTATGAATAGCTTTATAAATTGGTTTCGTGACGTCTTCTAGAAACACTGCCGCCAATGCATTTTGCCCAGATGACATTGTGCTGAAAAAAATAACAACGATAATAACACGGAAGATACGAACTTAAATGGATGATGATAGATGATACTAAATTTCGCCATTGAAAATATTAACTCAATTTGATACAGTTAGTATCATTCCAAAATGAAGTTCGCCAATCACTGCTAAAGGTATAGATAAATCTCCATGTTGAGCTTAATCAAGTGAAATGATTCCACAAATATTTTGTCATATAACCTTAAAACTATGATTTGAATTAATGCATTCTCCAATTGTCTCTTAAACCTAATTATTCAGACGCTAACAAATACCTGACTTTGCCATTTAGCGTTTGTTCCATACCTCATTGCAGCTGCTATCACCGTTACAATAAACAGTCCTGACATTCCTCTTAAATGACCGAACAGGTCCACCACTAAATATGCCGGCATCTGAATTAACAAATGCAAAGCATAAATTGCATCATGTATGTCCAAGAATAACATGGGAAAGTTATGCAGCAATCCATTGAAAATGAATTAACAGTGTCAACATTTAATGTAACTTGCTGAACATAAAAAAACTAATGTCAATGTGTTATCCGTGAACAAAATAACTAAAGTCAGTGTGTCTGAGTATTTGTAGTGAGACCGTAATCGTGTAACTGGATAGTATCGCTAAATGCAGTTTGGATCGCCGAAAATTGAGAAATAAAATATAGACCACGAACAACAAATTATCTAACAATCGCACAAACGAACCATTTCAGATGATTTAGCCCAAATTTTGATCACCACTCACTCAATCTCTCAAGTTACCTGATCGACCTTCTCAACTTTTCCGAGTTTGATAGGATCACATGAAGCATATGTGGCAAACATCACGATTCCTACCATGATGTTAATTGATCCAAATATGGCTGATAAGATAATATTCAGATACAACACCCTATTAAGAAAATACAATACAAAGTACATTACTGTCATTAAACGAGCTTACTAGAAAGTAGTACCTAATTCGTTTCCTATCAGTAAAAACGTCGACTCAGCGAAATAGGACCCCAGGCTTTAATGATATGGTTGTAAATTGGCGCTAGCAAAGTATTCAAATATTCAGCTGTGCCAACAATTTTTGATCTTCGATTATTCTTATACAGAAAAGCGATCAAAAATCCCCAATAAAAGTAAAAGAAAAGTTAGAGAATTAATTACTGTATGCAAGACGTGCATATAATAGGAATTGGATAACACATAACAAAGTCCATCCGAAGGTGCTAATTCTTAGGACATTTTCATTTACTTTAAATACTTCCACATACCCTTGACCCCGTATTTTCGTACCCAACGTAAGATAACGCTGCACGGAATGCTGGTTAGTCGAGAATGACGCAGCAAGAAAAAAAACCATCCCAATTGTCAGGCCCCACACAGAATGACGCGTTGTAGGATTTGGATCCAACCTGAAAAAATAGAAAGTATAAAAGTAATTAAACACACACGGTACTATATTGAATAATACGTACACAAACTCAATACAAACCTTTTGCAAGCAGCGCCCGAATGAAAAAATGATTTAGTTATAAGCTTGGATAAAAAATATTAAGACATTTTTTGTAAGGATAACCGTTTTTAGTTTTTATTCTATTGACACGGGTCAACTTGAATTTTTCTTAAGACGCATTTGTTGTATATGCTGAGAGAGCCGAATTCCAAAAACATATTTCAATCGGACCTCATCAGCCAAGCAAAATTTGTAAAGAAACTAACATTTAAGATATAAAGTCAAAGACACGAACACAACAAGTATTACAGTAAATATTTAGAAAATTACTTACTCATCGAATTCAATCCTGCCATGATCAGTTGCTATATTAAAAACTTTATCAATACCACCAAGGTTGATGGACCCTTGTATCACTAAGGCAAGGGATCCACATAAAATAAGGCAAAGTTGTAACGAATCAGCCCAGAGCACTGCTTTCATACCACCCTGGATTATTAGAAGCCAAGAACAGTTTACAAATTACGTTTATCTCCGTGTATTGCAGTTGGCATGGTTAACAAATTTAAGCAAACAGACACAATACAATAAAGTAATACTAATCTAAGCTCTCGCTTGTTTGTGCATCATGAAAATATAAATGCATAAAAACACATCACTCGTGATTTGACTGAAAATGTGGAATACACAAAGGATGATTCTCGGTTTGGAGAACGAAGTTCATCACTCTAATTGAGCGTTATCCCTGCTTCTGACCAATTTGATTTTTTTACATAATATAGATTTGAATGTCTTTTTTGAATAGTCTTAAATTAATTTGGGTAATATTTCTAGATTTTCCATCAAAAAATTACTAGTGAACCACCCAACGTCGCTTTTATGATTCGTACCACTTTTTTAAATTGATGTATTGCATATTTCCGTGGGTCAATTTGAGAAAAAAGACAAACAAAGCATACAGGGATATGTCATGAGCATATCATGAAAAAATCCTTTCAATATGTTTTTAAGAAACATTCGAAAATAATTCATTCTTAAATCGTGTCCCATTTTCGAGATATTCTCTGACATTTTATACACATTCATCCAATAGAGGGCCTCTCAAAAGAGCGACTTCAGATTTTTGGCATTTTACAAGTCATATATAAAATTGATTAATCATCTATTAATTAGATGTCACCACTTGCTATGAACTATGCTAGTGGTGAATATAAGCTAGTTAATTGCTGTGAACTGGAGAGGGTGTATTTATATCACTTCTATCCTACCACGTGATTACGTGGTCGATGGGGATTTTCTGCTAATAATACACTGAAAACTGCCTGATGAATCATTACAATATATAGTAGAACACTTGGAATAAACATGTATGTAAAATCTAGTATAAGCTTACATTCAGAAATATGGAAATAAACAAACGTCCTTCCTTTACAGCTTCACTGTAGCCTGTACTCCTTTAAAGGGATACATCAATGAGTTAAAAATAAAAAATCGGTGTGGAGAATGGACGGGGAATCGAAACACAATTCAGCGCGTAGGAGGTGAGGAACTTGCCACAAGATTACGCCTCTTTCTACCTCTCTCTTCCTGATTTAAACCTTAAAATTCGCCCAAGCATCAACGTGGTTATTATAGCTATAAATAACACGTTCATTGTTCAACCAATCTACAATAAGCCGTTGATGAGAGATAGTCTAGAGAGATTAAACAACACTTAGAAACACCTTAGAAAAATGGCGCCCGTATATGATTTTTTGTGTTCTTTTCTGTTTATCAATACAATTTATATTTTGACACGATTGCGATAAAACGTATTCCTAGAAATGTATGGCTAATTACCATAAGCGACTGGTAAATGTAAAAGTTGTTTGGTTTATCATATAAGAATCTGTAATAAAACTTCGATTGCCAAAATGAAACCATCGATTATGTTCAGTATGTTGCTATATATAATAAAAGTTTCCAGTCTTTTTTCAGTTACCATTAAACAGAGTCATTAGTCATTTTGGATTTGCTAGATTGATGATGGCATGGGTTGTTCTTTTTCAATTTCAGCAATAAGTTAATCCTTTTTTATGGACATATTGCTACCTACAACCTTTGACATCATTTATCTAGACAATAATCAGATTCTTTGATGTACCAAATGATGGCAGGATTTATTGGAAAATAAACAACTTTTCATGTCCCCCATGCAGTATCGCTGAGCGTGAATTGATCACTGAAACTACGGATTTTATTTGCCCAAATAGCCTTGGATAACTGTGGTAACTAAAGTAACTGGAAAATGTAATAACGTTTTCGAACCTTTAGTGACATGAACAAAGGATTTTTAGCTTTTTCGATATAAGCTTAATTCACAATTTTCAGAAATTCACATCAGTTGATTATGCTTTGCACGCCGCTTAAAAGCGCCATCAAAGCGCCGTTGGTGTGAACTTAGCTTAACAAGTTACTTGGGGGAAGGGGAACAAGGGAGGGGAGTTTGGTAGACATTTCCACCAGAATGATGAAAGTATTCATCGATGTCATATCAAATATTTATGTCATATTGAACATTTATCTCCGCGCTAAAATACCGACGATTGCAAAGGTAGTTTAATCCGGTAGCCGACAGGCGTTTCTTGCATTCGTGAATACAAGCTAGTCCATTTCACTGTTGAATTGCGTCAGTAAAACCTAATAAATAAGAAATTACAATATCATCATGCAATAATATATGGAAAAATATGTTCCTATTGTACATGAATGACATTTGTATATCTTGGATTGCTTCTAGTTTGGCATATAAAGTGTGTGGCCTCTTATATATGGATGCTTCTCTGCCATGTTATTTTCAATAAGATTAACATGGCTGAAATTCTTCAAATTACAAGAGGTCACAGTCTTATTGCACAAAAAAACGAGAAAATCTGAAATATACAAATGTCATTCATGTACAATATGAATCTACTTTTCCATATATTATTGCACAATGGTCTCCCGATTTCTTATTTTTGGGGTTCTACTGACGCAATAAAACAGTGAAATGGACTCTAACCTTATATTCGCGAATGCAACTAACGCATCTCGGTTACCTGATTAACCCAGTATTCTATGACTAACTCATTTAAATGTGAATGGAATAGTGGCAGGTACTATTCGTATTTACATGGGTCTCCAGTGAAATAGAAGGTTAATCCGGTAGGCGAAAGGCGTTATTTGCATTCGCAAATATAAGCTAAGACTATGATTTGGGAATGAAAGATTTCATCTACCGGATTAACATACTTTTCTATGGGCAACTCATTTAAATATTAAAAGTACCTGCCAATATTCCATTCATATTTTAATGAATTGCCCATAAAATAGTAGGTTAATCCGGCAGCCGACAGGCGTTAGTGGCATTCGCGAATACAAGATCATTTATTTTATAATTTGGGAAATATATATTTTCACAATATTGAAATAGATGGTGGTTCAAAGTGGAATACATATCATACAAAAGTGTCACAGATATGACTAGCAGGCATATACTTTTAGTATATTAGTCCATTTTTCACCCCTATACATCCAATAGTGAACCTAGAATTTGTTAAAAGTACGATGTTTTATGGTCGATTTATGATAATAAGGGTTTTCTGAAGTGATTTAACTGGGTTGCCGAAAAAGTTTGTTTGGGGAAAAAATTATATAGGCTGATTAGGGAGGGGTGCAATCGCTTAACATGGCGTTGACTATTGACTTAGCGTTGGGATACCACCATATACCTGGTATGTTACTATGGTAATAGATACCAAAATTTTCCCCAAAGTTATTTTTTGGCAACCCAGCTAAATCACTCCAATAATCCCTAATGATAGTATTTACACAGAAAAACATCATACTTTTAAATATTCATACGTTCAGAAAATGACAAATGGACTATATGGTCTTTCTTTGCATGACTTCGCAGAACATATCAAAACCCTGGAATCCACAGGGTAACAGTAACAGTAAGTACATTTCTAAGTTCATGCTTCAAAGTTGTCAAAGTTGTAAAAGGATAATCCTTTTATGAGTACGAAAGCGTACTTTTTGTTGAATAGCCTTTCCCAGCTGCTAATCTTGTGAGTGCATCGTGCATTCAACGAATTGTATTCACTTATTAACCAATCAGTGCCAGGAACAAAATGCACGCTGACTTGTTTTATGAAGCATGCTACATACAAATGTTACGCTTTTGCTCATTTACTTTGCGAACTATTTATATAATATACATTATATATGTTATATACTATTTATATAACATAATGTACATTACCAATTGACTGCAAGATTTGAGTGAACAAGTACCTCGTATTTTTCATTTTTCGATATTTTGTGATTTGTTGGCTGATGAGTAACTTGATATTTTATGTCTAAATGTATCAAAGTGGTTCATAGTAATAGTTTTATTGTACACCATAAACTGTTAACGTTTTAGAAATAGAACACAATATATGATTTGATAATAGGACAATACTTGTAATAATATGTCTTAACTCGGTGGTTTGTTTGTAAGTTTGTTTTTCTAACACCTCAATAACTTACATTCAATGCGTATCTAATCCTCATAATTTACAAATAAATCAGTTATTAAATGCCCGATTTTCGACAGGTAAAGGTAATATATCAACCCTCGGTCCCCACTGTTCCTCTTGTAGATATATTATACATGTATAACCTTCTCAGATATATCCTGTATATTAAATACATTAAATAACATATATATGTTAGTCTCAGCCTAGACAGTATACATTAATTTTATTGGATAATGCGTATAATTCGAATGAACTTGAAATGAAATTCAACATCCAAAATATGTTAATTTGATCATTCACCGTGTAACTCAAAGCATATGCATGGCCTATTTGCCTTAAAATACGATTGTGATTATGATTTCTGTTCTCCACAAGTAAAATCTAGAAACATAACAGAGTTAAGTTACACGAAATTCAGCTAACTTGAACACGAAGTCTTTCAATTAACTTAAAGTGTCTGATCGATGCTCATGGGGTCAAAATACAGTTTATACACGTTCTAAATGAAGTAAATACCACTAACATGTCGAACCAGTAACCGTTCTTGTAAACATTTTTGTAAATGTGAAATTTAATGTTCAAAATCGGGAACACAATTTCAAATCTCTATCATGACATCACGAACAGGACGGGTTTAGAATATGTTGTTGGAGTTCATAATCTCCGAACGTGCTTATAAAGTGTTAGTGTAATTGATTGCAACTGCATTCATTGAAGTGAGGAATTGATTCAGAGTTGACTACTTTGGAGTCACGTTTTTTCCTCCGATAAACCAAAAAAATAATACCTAAATTAGAGCCTCCGACCCAGCGGTACGTTTTCACATAGCTAGTCATGCAGAATTACTTTCTGGCCAGTCAGAACACAATATAGAAAATAAACACGCTCAGTTGATAGTATTACCTAACATAAGGCGTCTAAAATCTTGTAACCAAAAGGCATTGAACCATGAGGTGATTTCGGTAAGTGTTACTCCTTTCTGGCCAATCAGAACACGGTATAACATGAACACTTTTGAATTTACATTCGAGTTGCATAACGCATTGCCGATAAAAATCCATAACCGGTTCTGTTCGTGACGTCATGTTTTTTCCCGGGAAATCTTATTTTGCCACTAATGAATAAATAGAATGAGTTAAGAGTCTGTTGGAATACTATTTTTACTTACCAATATCTGTTTAATCTACTGCAGTGAGAAAAAATAAACAGAAATTACCGAATAAGCACTTTAATCGTTGATTCATTTCTATAGGTTTATTAGAATTATTACAACGATCGTTCATCAAACGAGTCCTATATTCAATATCTATTCGTTGGACCTATTCTTTAAGTGTAACTATATTCTTTAAAAGTATCTGCTTAGTGCTACGTTAACATATATTCATTATTTTTATCCACAAAAGAGTATCAAACGTTAATGCACAACTAGCCGAGACATGGCCCCCATCGTCCAGAGTGAAACACAAGGTCCTCATTCTTTAATAATTATATTTCAATTATTTAGTTAAATGCTTAAATGTTGGAAAATGAGTCGCTGTGACGTCATATCTGGCACAGCAATTTCAGAGTCACTGCAATGAATAGAAACATCACAAGGATCTTAAGACTAAATAAATAAGCTATTTAGGGATGAATATAACATTCGGTGAAATCCGTGATATCGTTATATCATTCGTTGATCGTCAAAGCTGCGCCCATTCGCTACCCTCATCTGTGAAACTATCGATATAGAATTGAGTCTCTATTTTCTATTTCAAAACATTTGGATTTACGCGCACAAGAGATGCTATGTAGAGTCCATTTCACTGCTTCATTGCGTCAGTAGAACGGCAAAAATAAGAAATTGGGAGACCATTGTGCAATAATATATGGAAAAGTATATTCATAATGTACATGAATGACATTTGTATATTTCAGATTTTTTAGTTTTTTGTGCAATAAGCCTGTGCCGTCTTGTAATTTGAAGAATTTCAGCCATGCTAATCTTATTGAAAATAACATGGCAGAGAAGCATCCAAATATAAGAGGCCACACACTTTATAAGCCAAACTAGAAGCAATCCAAGATATACAAATGTCATTCATGTACAATAGGAATATATTTTTTCATATATTATTGCAAAATTATATTTTGATTTCTTATTTTTCAGCTTTTACTGACGCAGTTAAACAGTGAAATGGACTCTAGTAAGCTATTACAAAAATCAAAAAATCGCCACCAAAATTCCTCAGAGCAGGCAGATATAAGACCAGACTGGGCATACACAAAATGTATTGTATGTGCTCCTTAGGTTGCACTCGGGTGCTATCAAAATCGAACACACACAAGTATAAGATACACAGCATCATGATAAACCATGACATCTCATTTCTTCTCAGCCCTGAGATGTTTCAGGTGAAACAGAAAGATGCTATGAGTATCAGAATGGATACACAGAGATAATTAAGGGATGAGTGACAAAGGGATGTTAAAAACAGGTGGCTATTTTTTTGTAACTTCCGAATGTAAGAATCTTTTCATCGATAAAAAGAACATCTTAGATATGTTCTATGTGAGTGTATTTGAAAATGTAGTACATAGCTAGTTCCATCTATAAAGATGTCTGACGACAAAAAGCTCAATTTTCCTTGATGTCACGGTCAATGGAACTTTAACACGTTAACTAATGTTTTTTATTTTTTTGTTTTAAAGTCACTTATAGCAAACCTAATCTAACAATTATCTCACGATATGCTTATGACATATTCATGTATACGTCGTTTGTATTTTTTTTAAATCGACCCACGAAAATATGCAATACATCAAGTTAAAAAAAGTAGTACGAATCATAGAAGCGACGTTGGGTGGTTCACTAGTAATTTTTTATGGAAAATCTAGAAATATTACCCAAATTAATTTATGTCTATTCAAAAGAAGACATTCAAATCTATATTATGTAAAAAAAATCAAATTTGTCCGAAGCAGGGATAGCGCTCAATTAGAGTGATGAACTTCGTTCTCCAAACCGAGAATCATCCTTTGAATAATGACTTACTAGGGATGTGTACACCATGCAGACTAAACCATTAAGTATCACAGTTCCCCAGAAGGGTATTCCACTCACTATAACCGAAGATGTGTACGCTATTGTAGTATATGCATTTGAGAAAACACTCTAAATTGACAGAGTTTATGCTACTTATACTACCATTAAACGTTTCCCTGCTAACTATTGAGTGAGGAAAACCAAGTAACTTACCTTGTGAAAGTGTAATCGATGATGCGTACAACTGAATGGATATGAAAACCAACTAAAATGACAGACAGAAAGTATTTGTATGAATACATGCACTAATATATCGTCATCACCAAACCTGGTAATAGTAACATACATCATATCATAAATGTAGTTTCGATGTTGCTTGACAAGTTTTACGAGATCATGATTGAGTTCGTTTGTACTCGTATATTATGTTTTTGGAAAAAGCTGAATTTACAATAAGACATCTTCGTCATTTAATATTAGTATCTAACAAAAATTAGAACTATTAGTCATTTTGTTTGGTATTAAATTATTTTAGGAAGCAAATGTCTGTTATTGGGGAGATTAAGCTGGCGTATAACATTGAAACGCCAACTTATACGTATGACCAATCGCCTATACAAATACACCACTCAAATATTTTCCGTTCGCGTTTAGGTTGTGAAAAACATTGCAAGCTTAAACTCCCTATTGCTATATGTCACCCGGGTAGATATTCTGCGTTTTAAGACATAACATGGACGATATTTTATTGTGGTATACTTACTATTTGAAATGAATATGTGATTACGGCCATTGTTGTAACAGTCCTATTGAATCGAAGTTCAAGATACTGAAATAAATTGAAGCTGTCTCAAACATTCAAACTATCTATCCACAATATTTCACATTTATAAGTTTAATTTCAGTCCAGAGTGAAATTCAAATAATCTAAATAATTTCAGTGCTTCTTTTGTTGAATCTTGTCTCTTAGTATTAGTGTCAAATCATCAGCATATTGTGTAAGTTGAATTATTTGCTTGTTGATTGTCATTCCTTTCACTTCAATTTTCTTTTTGATCGCTATACTTAGTGTTTCTATTGCATAATGAAAAGGATTCCAGATAAAGGATCTCCTTGTCACACACCTCTTTCTAACTTAAAAAACTCAGAATGTTCACCGTTATTTGAAAGGCAGCTTTCACTGTTTTTATAGATTGTTTTAAAAATGTTTAGAAATGTGTCGCCTTATCCAAATGCTTTGATTGTATCTTCTATAAAATGCCATTCAATGCTATATATGCTTTTTGGAAAGCAACAAATAGAAAAAGACCTTCTTCATTCTTTTCGTCGCTGTATTTTAATATGTCATTTAATAATCGAACATAAGTTCCAATTAACCTATCTTTTATATATCCTGTTTGGTCTGTACTAATAATCTTATAGAAAATACCTTTTAATCTGCATATACCAGGTCGTTCAATAAGTTCACTGAAAAACGCTCTCATTTCAAGGATTTTTGATATTTTCTCATTAAATTTTTACACAATGTATACAAAAAACACTTTCTGATTGATTCTTAAAATATCAGCATCTCTTATTTGATTGGTCAAAAATAAGGGTTACTATGGTAACTTGACGTTTGGGTTGGCGGGGCACTTAATATTCAAGTTTTTGTATCAAAATTTCATGATTAATTGTGTCAAAGGCCTTGGAAAAATCTAATGTTATGCCAATGCTCGTTTTCCCCAAATCAGTTGATTTTCGAATTTGTTCAATGAAATATAAAATGGCCATGTAGGTAGAATTGAATTTCTGAAATCCAAATTGATAAGTAAAAATAACTTCAAAACGTTCTAAAAAACCAGTGAGTTTGGCGTTCATGAGCTTTTCTAACAATTTAGAAAATACCGATAAAACTGAAATTGGTCTATAGTTAGAAGGATTTGTAGTGACACCTTTTTTAAATACAGGTGTTACTTTGGCCAATTTCAGGGCGTCTGGGAAAATACCAGATGTAAAAGATAAGTTAAATATATACAAGAGTGGATCAATTAAAAACTGTCTTGCAGACTTAATAAGTGATGGTAGAATCCCATCAGGTCCAGGCGAGGAAGATTTTAGAAGACACATTTCTAATTCAAGCTCAGTTTTTGAGGTCTTTTTGAGATAAATAGATGATTGAACTTTTTGACAGCTACAGCTAAAATTATATTTCTCGTAGAAGATATAGCTCAGTTGCTTATAAAACAATCATTAGGACTTGGTCGGATTCATGAATAATTGAGAAAAATCGCTATCATTATCCTCCTAAAATTTGATTGTACCCAGCGGTAAGGTCAAAGAAGAAACAACCATCAGAAAACCTGATGATAGCCAGCAGTAACGCCGAGGAAGAATTGTAAGGCGTTCGATTGCATATTACTCTAATTGATTATCAGACATGGCCTTTGAATATATGAACATTCCAATACCTCTGTGACATTTAATTAGATATAACTCTTACCTATTTGTTATTGTATTATGTTTTATAAAACATGAACAATAATTTGTTGTTTGACCCTTTGCGATTATATGGAAAATTCTGGTAATAAAATGCTTTAAATGGTAAGAAAACTATTATGTTTCGTATCATTAATCACTTAAATATTCCTCACAATTTTGTTGAATGTGCTTGGCTCATATTTGAAAAATCGAACAAAATCTAAAAAACAAACTTGCGCAATTGCACTCATTAAATACCGACATCTACAGTAAAATTATAGTATATATTTACATAACGATAATCTATTTTTATTCGTATGCTTAGAATAACGGCCTGTGTTAAAAGTTCGAATCAAAATAATTAATTTTTTGACCCCTTGTGATAATAGACATGTTTCGACCCGAAAGCCGGAAGTTTTTTCAGCTAATGGTATTTTAAAAGAATCAAGACATATTTTTGATGATTCGTGGAAATTTATGGGCATCCCACGTATACTTTTTTACGAAAACACGTCACTTAAAGCCTTGAATACACACAGCAATTTTTATTGTCGATCGTAAACAAAGGCATCGTATGGTTGAGTTCGCGAGTTCAGTTCACTATTTTACAGGGCTACATTATTTTTTATAAACGCATTATTTCCATAAACAGTCACAATGCCTTTGACTCGCATTCCATGCCTAAAGTGGACTTTGAGTCTAAGAGAACCGTTTGGCAGAATTATTAAATTTGAATCGTATAAAGCTAAGCTTAAAATCTTCCTATTATTTCCACATTGTTACAATCGCATTAAGCTGATATTGATAGTCAGAGGTTGAAGATTTGGGATACCTTTTGAGAAATAATTTTGAAGAACTTGGTTTTTCGTATGGGCAAAGCAAAGTTCATGTCATAGTTATGACTCATAGCCATATGATCACAAGTATGTAATCTGATTGGCTCTACTGCTCACCCAAACGGATATGACAAGGTGAGTCTCATTTTTCTGATTTTGAACTTAATATTACGATGTCAGTGGTACTCCGTTGTACTCCCAAAGAGAGATAAAATGCATTGAAATGGACCTCAGAAATGAATTGAGAAGATAGTAGACTTACCTCAAAACCTGCAAAAATGAGTTGTAACAATGGAAATAATGTTCACACCAACGGCGCTTTGATGGCGCTTTAATGCGGCATGCAAAGCCGCTTTGCACGCCGCATTAAAGCACCATCAAAGCGCCGTTGGTGTGAACTTAGCTTATAGAACATTAATGTCTAGGCCTTTTCTCACCTCAAATATGCTTGTTATTTTCAAGTCATAATAAATCGGGTAATACACATGTGCAGTAGCAATATAGCCTATGGCAGTCCCGATCAAAATATACCATAACATAGTCCCTTGATTATATATTTCTGCGGGGAATCCGATGATAGATACAGTTGATATGAGAGTCGCACAAACAGACAATGACACTGGAAACACCGACATGTTTCTTCCCCCAAGTAAAACTTCATCTGTAGTGCTTTGCTTCTTTCCGGTGCATCCATAATACACTCCAATTAATAACGACCCCAACAATGCAAATCCATATACGAGCCAATCTTCCCAGCCAAATATAACCACAGTTTCTTCAGTCATAGTGCTACCAGCTGAATAAAGGAAGCATAATAAAACTGCGTTTACACCTAGCTAGCTGAATACCCGTAATATACAAGGTGACAATAACTCAGAGGAGTACGAGGGTAGTTCAAAAATATGATCTCAAACAATCGATCGGTATTTTTCTCTCATTTGGTAGCCTTTCAATGACGACTGCGCAGTCAGTACGCGCATTCTAAATCCTGCTCTCGTGTTAAAGCTCTCGGTAGACGAGAATCAATATCAATTGTATATTCACAAAAAACGAACTATATCACTTCCCAAAATGGCTTGGGTGAGTCCCGTTGTCGTTTCTCAGCGTGAATACAACTCCCCTCCATAAGTTTGGCAACTTTAGCCCCCCATTAAACTACGTGTTAAAGCCTCTTTACCTTTGAATTTTTTATTTACTTAACCTGCGATGAAAATATTTATACTATTGACAGAAACGTACCTTGACCTTATTTCCAATACCTCCAAATGTTCTCATTTTTTTCCTTATGTTTACGTATGTTTATGTTTAATTCCTTTTTTAAATTCACACAAATATACAATGCATGAGAGGGTGACACTTAATGCTGTGGTCACATTTGCTCCGATTTTTACTACGGCGCCCGGCCGATTGAGTATTGTGTTCAAAATTGTATTCAATTATGAACACAATACTCAATCGGCCGGGCGCCGGTGCTGAAAATCGGAGCATATGTGACCACGGCATTAAAAAGTGTATATTCCCAACAAATTTTTTCAATAAAAGTTGTGTGTTGTCATACTTTGTCTTTGCATTTAACCATACACATGTTCATTTTTTAATAAAATAATTATTTTTGATACTTTTTGGAGTTTGTTGTCACTAAGGTATATCTTAAAATTGCAAGGATTTACGTGTTTTTGTCTTGAAGTAGAAATAATGTATTTGGTTTTAGAAATATTTAAAGAAAGTGTATTAGTCACCAACTATTCTTCTATATTTTCAACTCTATGTTCAAAATATTATTAAGTTCATCTAAGTTTTTACCATTTATCAATAGATTAGTGTCGTCAGCAAAAAGTACAAAAATAACCCCGGAGATGATAAGTATATGCCATTTATATAAACGATAAAGAAAAGAGGACCTGATGTTGAAATAATGTAAATAAGATCGTTTTAAATTTTAAAATATTTGATATGTCATAGTACACGGTACACATTTGCAAAAGTTGATCAATACCACGGTGTTATAGCATGACGGGTACGACAAGGAAATTGGCAAAATTTTGCGACAACGATAACAAAAATGGCGGACGGGAAAGACAGCATGTCCTCTTTTTCGCCTGTAGGCAAGATTCACAGGTAAGCTTTCCTTTTCAACTAGTTCCATTCGGTGATGCATATGTGAATGGTTATAAAGACTGAGTTCAATCTGTAAGCAGAATATAAGCTGTAAACCTACCCGGCTGAGATGTCGAAGTTCATAATTTTTAGTCCTTTTTCGTGTTTTCTCAGTATATGTGCCTCAGAGCCACTCAAAATACTAACTGTACGTAAACTGTGTATAAACAAGCCATAAAATGACAAATGCAGAACAGAAATGTGGTGAATATTGTAGATAATAAGGTTTCAATCGCTAGGTCTTTAGACGGATACGTATGTATTGCATGATTTTTTTATAAACGGCAACGAATTGAATTAGTTTTACATTAGATGTTAGTGGACGGTTACATGCAAGTTCCTGTCAATTAAAGGACGCTAGATTGATAGCTCTCTATGTGTGAACTGCCTATATTTGTTGTTTTCAGGACTCGCAAGAGACGCTCTTGCTTGAGCCTCTATAGGGCAAGGAAAAAATAGCGAAAACCAATGAAAGTTGAAATGATTGTAATGAAGAGGCACAGGAAGAAATTAATAATAACAATGAACAGGCGATAGTTAAATCTTTCACCGCAACTTGAACAGATGCACTTTTTTTGGCACAGAACTCACAAACGAAATCTTTTGATGACTTTTTACAAACTTTCAAATAGCGTGTTAGACTCCCAGTGGTCGCGAATGCTTTATCGCATTGTGTTCATTATGTGGCTTTTCCCCACTGTGTACAAGTGCGTGTCTTTCCATATCTATTTTCCTCGAAAATCCTTTGGCAGAAATTTCACATACAAACTTTGGCTGTCCTAAATGAATTTGCAATTTATGCAATTTCAATCCGTTTTTTGCTGTGTATGACTTCAGGCACACGTCGCACTGGAACTGAAATTACAAACACAAATCATATTCAGCTGTTTATGGCACCATCTTCATAATACGATTTCATCAATTATAGCTTACAAAACTCAAATCCGGTTGAAAAACATTTCAATTTTGGATCACAAGCGATATGAAATGAATCGGTGTTACATAATTGAACGAGGTTCGCGTAACTGTCAATTTGGATTTTTGGCGTATCCGCAAATTCAAAATACATTATTATGGCTTGAGTAGAACATATTAAGTGGTTTACAATGCTTAATAGGCTTTGTATGATCGTATGTAGGTTACATTTATATACACCAAAGTTGTTGCGCAATGCAGAGCATGCCCTAATGCCTTGGTCACATAGGCTCCGATTTTCACTACGGCGCCCGGCCGATTGAGTATTTTGTTCAACATTGAATACAATATTGAACAAAACACTCAATCGGCCGGGCGCCGGCCGATGGATCGGAGCATATGTGACCCAGGCATTACGAGGAAAAGAAACAAATTACTAAATTTTATGAAGTTTTGAATTTCAAACTCGACAGTTTTTCGCTTATTTCATGTTATCCATGGGCGTCGATTTGCAAAGACTACGTTCAAAATAAACATTACTGAATGCATCACCGAATGCGACCCTTTCATAAATCGTTCATGCTTTTATTGATACGCAGAAAATAATGCACCTACCTTAGCTTTTTGTGGCCATTTTATTGGATAAATCAGTGATCGTACATGTAGTCGACTAACCTCGTTTTCAGAGATGGCGTATCCGCCATGCTATAACACCGTGAATACAGGGTACAAGGAATGTAAATTGTTCAATAGTACAGGGAGCAAGAAAGTAAGCTGATTATACAGACATAGTATCGAGGGTTTCAAGCAAAAAAGTACTAAGTGCACTTTTTGCCAAAATTGAGATATTGTATCTGGGACAATGATTTAATACCCCTCTATCATCCTACCAAAGGTTATATTGAAATCTGTTATATAACTTTGTATATGTCTAATACAAATAAGTACTAAGTGATTATTGTGGAAAATGTTACATGCAAAAAAGTATTAAGTGCATAATGCTCATGCAAAAATACTAACTGCATTTTGTTACGTTTTTGCATGATTTGCCATTTCAAAAGTATAGTTTTGTTGTACTTCATAATAGTGCTTTTTGCATTACTGGTCATATTTGATTGTAATGACCATATTATCCATCTTTAAATAGGAATCAGAAGATAACTGTAAGAATTTCTTCAATTTGCATTTGAATAAGTATTCTGAATTGTCATTATCTATTGATATTATACAAAGATTAGGTTTAACAATGGTCTGTCCTGTTAATCTAATGAGGCAAAACAGAGGATTAGTTTATGGCTTGAAGTTTTTTTTACATAGGCACATGCTATATTTGGATCTGAAAGAACTGCATGATACTGATTTTCCTGTCTGTTAATGGTAAGTTTTCTTTTTTCCTTTAAAATCTTTCAAATTGATTTATATACTTACTTAATGTCTGCTAGTAATCAAACTATTTTTAGGAATTTTTGTTGTATTTAATTTGATTCAGACATCGCTAAAGATGAGAAATTTTGTAATTTTTTTATAGTACCTTTTTGCAGACAAGATATAAAATGATTCTGTCATAACTCAAAACATTAAGTTTCACTTATATGAAACATATTTACGTTAATTTATTTGTTATATCTAACTTTGTAATTTAATTATAGAGTATAGAATTAAAAACTATATATATAATTCATTTAAAACAATATTTACTAAAGAATGAAAATAGTATATTTTTGCATGCCGAAAGCTAACATGTACCAATTATCTAGATTTTACTTGTGTCGCGATAAATTTTCTTAATATTTTGAATAAAAAACAACTTATTTCATCTCCAGGTGAAATATGGCAAGTGAGAGTGAATGGGAAATTGACATTGGGGATGTTTGTTGGATAATCTATTTATCCCAGAAATACCATTATCCAATGTTGTCACAATGACACTCCATCACACCCTGATCTGCCCACACGAGAAGGTTCAATAAGATATGAAACTAGACAGACTAGACAAGTGAAAAAGATAAAGTACAAGTCAGAAGGTTTTGATACTTCTGATGACGAACTCCTGATGAAAACAGCAAGATAGAACGACTTGGATTTGGAACCACTAGCCACACTTTTGGATTCTGATTTATCAGAAGGATCAGAGTACAGGGCAGATATATCTGAAACATCAATGTCAGATCCTATATCTTCTGATGAAAATGAAAATATACGCATGTCAAAAAGTCAAAGAAAGAAAAGAGAGCATAAAATCTCAACACCAAACAAATCAAAAAGTCTAGAATATGTAATAAAAAACCGTAAAAAAGGTTTGGAACCACAAGAAGACCAAAGCAAAACTGTAATGCTGATATGGAGAAAGCTATAATGATAAACGGAGATGAGGCTAGGAAAAATGCTGTTGTAAAAGCACACAGTAAAAAGATGGATGCTCTCTTGAGAAGCAATGGCCAGATATTAGCTAAGGTGCCTGGAGATGGCAATTGCTTTTTTCATGCTGCAGGTATTATTGTTGGTCAACCTGCTGACCAATTGAAAGAACAAGTGATAGAGCACCTAATAGCAGAGCAGGATGAATATAAGAATTTCCTTGTTTTGGACAAACCGTATCAAGAACATATCAAAAGCCTAAGGGATTCTTGGACAGCAAATGCAGGAGATTTGGTGCTACTTGCATTGGCCAATCTATATAAGCAAGCATTCACAGTCTATACAACCAAGTCTGATCAGCCTATTCAATACATTCAACCAACAATTGAAAGTAACTATGTTGAGAAACAAACTGGACTCTCAACTGAACCAGAACTTAGCTTGATATACTTAGCTATACCGGGGCACGAGCACTACGACATATGCATGCCCATATCTCAAAATAATCCGCCT